AGAGATAATATTTATTTAAATGTTAAATTACACCCTTTTGGTTTGTCCAAATAGTTTTTCCCAAATCAATTGCATGGGCGAAAGTTCTCTGAAAACGCTACATGGACAAATCCTGAATCGACCATCGCATAATTTATTGGGATGAATTAATTCGGTAGAACCAACAGTTTTTTCCATTCACTAGTCTACTACAAACTAATTATTGTTGCTATAAGAATAGTTCCAGCAAGCCATATTAAACTCTGACTCCAGTACATACTGCAGAATCCATAAAAAGCATAGCTAAAAATATGCTACAAAGATTCTAAGCATCACGTCATCAAACTATACATTAAAGTAATGATATCAAAATGAACGCAAATAGGATAATCATTCTTGCGCTATGCTGCCACCTAGTGGACACTTAGAAATTCAGTATTTATATTTTAACCTCATATTACAGTCCCCCTAGTCTGCTCTGTAAAGGAATTCGGAAGTGTATAATCCAGGGACTCCTCTTACAAAATAATTCATTAAATTGTGAATTGCCATGAATGGTACATTTGTATCTGAGCTGTAAAACTAGATTGGATTTAAACATTTTCAAATATGCCTGTTTTTTTCCTAATATTTGCATTTCTTTGGTTTGGCTGGGGTCTCACCGGCCCTTCCTACCCTGGAGCAGGGTCCTGGATCCAGCTCCCAGTGGTCAAAGCACTCCCACAGAGAGTATAGCTGTATATCAGTAATTAAAGCAAGTATAGCATTCCCCCCCACATATTAGCCGAGACTTAATACTGGGAGTAGATCTGTTTAATAAATGTATACATACCGTAAACTCCTCCCCTGTGCCTGAGGGATAATTGAGTCAGGAACTATACAAACTCAAATATCTCCAGGTACAGAAAAACACACAATTTCACAACACCCCAAAAGTACCCCCAAAATCCATGGAAACCCCTCAAGAGTCAGATCCCTGGATAGCCCTGATCTGAGTGACCATAATATCAAAAAGTCGCTCAGATCGGGTTGGTGGTTCAGATTTTCCATGGAAGTACCCCCAAAATCCATGGAAACCCCTCAAGAGTCAGATCCCTGGATAGCCCTGATCTGAGTGACCATCATATCAAAAAGTTGCTCAGATCGGGTTGGTGGTTCAGATTTTCCATGGAAGTCAACTTTTGACCGACCACACATGTGGCTTCTGCCCAAAATAGTTCCAAAAGAAAAGTGGTAGTGGTCGGTCAATTACGAGAGTCCAAAACCGAACAAAATACCAAACTGGCACCTAGCTAGCGATTGTTTGCCTAGTTCCTACTGACATGAATAGCAACAAAGCAGGCGTTCGTCAAAGTTCAGCAGTGTTCAAGAGTTAGAGTGTCCGATTTTAGTTCCATGTACTTGATGACCAAACACCGCTGTCTGAACAAAATGGCTTACAAATGGCGGCAACCCAGCCAAACACTTAGAATCCATAGTGTAAAAAGGATGATGGAGGTGTCAGTAGAGGTCAATAGGGGTTAACAAGCACAGAGGTTGTCCACAATTCGTGGGTTTGTTCGGTTCCCGAACAATAAAGGGAAACCACACAAACCAAGTCTTTTAAAAGGTCTTTTACATGGCCCATAGTCCTTGGGCAGGAGGCTGGACTGCAGGCTCCTCCAGGAGTTCGTGGCAGAGGCACCTTTGCCACAAAATTATTATTAGTTTTATTCTTCATCTATTCATATTTACCAAATAATGTGTGATGCTGCTCCGAGATTGGCTAAATCTGTAATGTATCTTCCAGCCAAGTAGACCTGCTTTGGGACCATGTGTTTATTATTGTGTTGTCAAATTCATTTTCTTGCCCCAGCAGAGCAGAATATCAGCGTTTAGATTGAACCTGGTCTAGTAGGGGCAATTGAATCAACAGTGATGGAATCTCCAGAGCTCTTTTGGGGCTATATATTGGGGATATATATTTCTAATTCACTAAAGGCACTAGAACTGTGTTTTTTCATGTTGAGGTTGATACCAGGGAAAAACCCATAATCCGTGGTCGAGGGTCTCCAAGACTTTACACAGATAAAGACTTAGACGATTGGGCAGACAGACCTTGAACTGTAGAGAATTAAAACCCAGATAGCAACATTTTGGCTACAATAATCAGGCTGTTACTTTAGGGGGCACAGTAGAAATAATTATAAAGATTAAAAGGTTAAAATACTGTGCTACTATCACCTAATATGGGTCACCAAACCACATAAAACACAGTGAATTAAAAATAATAATGTATGAGCACACTTCAACAATGTATGTGACAACAACACACACACAATTTTACCATAAACTGGATAAAAATGCCTAAAATACAAATAGTAATAGACCATAGTGAAACTTGTATATATCAAATGATACAATAAATAAACACACATTGGTCACACTCACATACTGCTGAGCCACTTAATAGTAGGCTCAGACTTTAAATGCCACTTCATAGATGTTGCTGAGATCAAGTTGGTTTGATGTTTCTCTGCATACTGGTCCTCTCTCTTTCAATTTGCCATTAAAGCAAAAGAGGGGATAAAGGGTAACCAGGAAATGTTATTTAACAAAATAAATGTTAAAAACATATTCAAATCTCAATTAGCAACCACACTAATGCGTTTCGACCACCGTTTTTCTCAAAGTGCTTCCTGAATGTAGTGGCGTACACTTCTTAAATCAGTAAAAAGGCGCATAACCACAGAATCACCTGTGTGTCTGATATCCCAAATGAGTTCCGCGTACGTCATTTCTGAATATGTCATTTCCAGATCCAAGTCTTTCTGATATGATGTAGTTGTTCTTTTAGGGAAGTTGGAGATTTTTTTTTAATATCATCTGGTTTTAAGATATTTTCGCATTTAGGTTTTAATTTGCTAAGATTCAGTGTTTAGTAAATAACATTGTTGGAGATATTGTCTACTTTAGTGCTGCAAATTGAGTTTGCCTGTCCAGGGCCATTTTCATAGTGTTAGCTTGTAATTACTAAAGCGTACATGCTTCTCAAAGTAAAGTAGGTTAGGTGGATAGGGCAACTTGTGATTGTGACATCCCGTAGGACAGTAATTGGGTTAGTCCAAAAGTCTATGTATATATTTATACATCTGATATATTTTACAGATTTTGGTTCACAGACATCTTTATTTATTTATGAAATATATGATATTTAAATAAAGATATTTTTTTTTTTAGTGCTTCAACTTTTGTCCCCTCTATTGGTTTCTGTTCACTTGGTCTGTGAATAAAATCAACATTTATTAGCCGTCACTCATCTCTCTATTCGTCAATTGTCTGTAATCATTAAGAAAATTGTGCCAATAAAACCATTAACACGGAATTTCACCAGTGAGAAGAGGGGTTTGATTGAAGGTAGAAAGACAAGTTGACCTTGGTTAGTCATTGCTTATCTAACAATTTGGTTGGGCACATGGACCTAACATGTACCTTAAAACACTGTGATCAAATGTGTAACAACCTGCAGGCACTGAAACTGTACGTACCTGCGTTAATACAAACCTTTTCCCAGGAATACAAGGGGTAGTCACCGTTGATCCTTCTAACCACACTGTTCAGGTTTGTTATAGAAAATGGCTTTCGAACTGGGAGCGGGTAGGTCTGCTTCACAGGGTCACAGATTAGTGGAATAGGAAGTAGATGAACAGACAGCAAAAGACTTTCAAGCCCACAAAATGCCTGCAGGATAGCTCCATATCTAGATGGCTCCAGTCAGTGCAAATGTTAAACTGAGCTAGAGTCGCAGCTGCTTTGACCAAAACAGACTTGTAGTAGTCATAAAAAATGAAACCTCCATACTTGTGTCCCAAATCCACCGATTTGTGCAGGTATAAGTCTAACTCTTCCTGCTGTAGAGGGAATATGGAACGAATGACATCCCTATGTAACCCAAAAGCCAGGACAAATTCAGGAATGAAACGTTTTTGTTCAATCTTGGATCCCAAGCTTTGAGCACCACAGACAGGTCAGCATAGCTGTATGACTTATTTTCAATCAGATCTTGTGAAGCAGCTAACAAAGACACCAGGTTTACGTCCTTGTCATCCAAAATGTCCTTCCTGATAGAAAGGGGAACAAAGTGAGCGGGGGACCGTGCGGCGCTGGAAATAAGGTGAGTTTTAATTCCCTTTAAGGGGATTGAGGGGGAGCAAGCCACCTAAATGGTGGGTTTTACACTATAGGGTCAGGAATACATGGTTATATTCCTGACCCTATAGTGTTCCTTTAATTTTAGATCTATTTTTCTTTTTCTTATTTTGTGTATATAATAACGAGATTTGACATATTAACTAAGGTCTGCATCTTTTTGTATATAACATTTTTAAATTAATCAAAATGTTCATTAGTAACTAATAATTGTAGAACATGACGATGCTTCGTTAATGTTATATAATGCATGATGTATTGAGTTTTTGTCTGTGTAGGAAGTTATTAATCGCTTGGCGTTGCTGCACATCGCAATCTGTGTGTTTAAGTATTTGCTGATCAGGTCCCGCCATCTTTTTGTGGCACAATTTCAACTTTTCCATCTCCCCGTTTCTGTCTCTCGTTACCTGCTGGAGAGCTGAAGAGGCCATGACCTTTTAGAAGGTCCTGTTCAATATTTATCAGTCGTCTTGCTAAATACTTACTCAAATTTACAAAGCCTTTGTGTTATCCTATACAGTGTGAAATAAATGGTGCAAACAAAGTATTTGTTTTCACTAAACTTGGCTCCTTCCATGAAAGCAGATACTGGATGTTTTCATTTGCCCTTTATCAAATCAAAGGCCTCACATTGCACTCAGCCTCTCGGTTTCACAAAAGTCAGAGCTCTCTCTCTCAGGATCCTACTTGATTCTTCTCACGGTTTATCTCTTCTGAGGGAACCAGCTATTTAACCTCACTGCAATGCAATGGTTACAATAATCCCCAGTAACTCCGCTTCTTATAAACCATTGACTAACTTTTGTTAAAACACATTGACTAAGAGACTCAGCACAAGTTCCATCCACATATATATATTTATTTTTAACAAAAGCTCTGCACAATCACAATCTCCTCACTCAATCCTCAGATTGGCATTTTTAAATGTATCATTTTCAGAATGGAATATACTATTACTGCTTCTGCTAGATGGCTGCTCCAGGTACCAATGACCGTGCCAGTGTAAAAGGTACCTTTATTACCTATCCTTAACTTTTCTCATTCTGAATTTCTTTCCCCAAAACTTATAAAGGTAGCACCGTTTTCTAACAATCATAAGCCCAGAATAACCTCAAATATATAGAGAGATGCACCCGGCAGTATAGCATTATTCAGATAATCTCTGGTCTGCTGTCTTTGGTCTACGGCTGTCTGTATAAACACATTATACCAGGCACAATAGGGCACATCTGTATATAAGTTATAAGTATAAACAAATTATTGTGTGGATTCCAAATAGAAGAGTCTGGGTTACAGCGTATGGATTCCAAATAGAAGAGTCTGGGTTACAGTGTATGGATTCCAAATAGAAGAGTCTGAGTTACAGTGTATGGACTCCAAATAGAAGAGTCTGGGTTACAGTGTATGGACTCCAAATAGAAGAGTCTGGGTTACAGTGTATGGACTCCAAATAGAAGAGTCTGAGTTACAGCGTATGGATTCCAAATAGAAGAGTCTGGGTTACAGTGTATGGATTCCAAATAGAAGAGTCTGAGTTACAGCGTATGGATTCCAAATAGAAGAGTCTGAGTTACAGCGTATGGATTCCAAATAGAAGAGTCTGGGTTACAGCGTATGGATTCCAAATAGAAGAGTCTGAGTTACAGCGTATGGATTCCAAATAGAAGAGTCTGGGTTACAGTGTATGGACTCCAAATAGAAGCGTCTGGGTTACAGCGTATGGATTCCAAATAGAAGAGCCTGGGTTACAGTGTATGGACTCCAAATAGAAGAGTCTGGGTTACAGTGTATGGATACCAAATAGAAGAGTCTGAGTTACAGCGTATGGATTCCAAATAGAAGAGTCTGGGTTACAGCGTATGGATTCCAAATAGAAGAGTCTGGGTTACAGTGTATGGATTCCAAACAGAAGAGTCTGGGTTACAGCGTATGGATTCCAAATAGAAGAGTCTGGGTTACAGTGTATGGATTCCAAATAGAAGAGTCTGGGTTACAGTGTATGGACTCCAAATAGAAGAGTCTGGGTTACAGTGTATGGACTCCAAATAGAAGAGTCTGGGTTACAGCGTATGGATTCCAAACAGAAGAGTCTGCTAATACAGCCGCATGGATTCCAAATAGAAGAGTCTGGGTTACAGCCGCATGGATTCCAAATAGAAGAGTCTGGGTTACAGTGTATGGACTCCAAATAGAAGAGTCTGGGTTACAGCGTATGGATTCCAAATAGAAGAGTCTGGGTTACAGCGTATGGATTCCAAATAGAAGAGTCTGGGTTACAGCGTATGGATTCCAAATAGAAGAGTCTGGGTTACAGCGTATGGATTCCAAATAGAAGAGTCTGGGTTACAGCGTATGGATTCCAAATAGAAGAGTCTGGGTTACAGTGTATGGATTCCAAATAGAAGAGTCTGGGTTACAGCGTATGGATTCCAAATAGAAGAGTCTGGGTTACAGTGTATGGATTCCAAATAGAAGAGTCTGGGTTACAGCGTATGGATTCCAAATAGAAGAGTCTGGGTTACAGCGTATGGATTCCAAATAGAAGAGTCTGGGTTACAGTGTATGGATTCCAAATAGAAGAGTCTGGGTTACAGCGTATGGACTCCAAATAGAAGAGTCTGGGTTACAGCGTATGGATTCCAAATAGAAGAGTCTGGGTTACAGCGTATGGATTCCAAATAGAAGAGTCTGGGTTACAGTGTATGGATTCCAAATAGAAGAGTCTGGGTTACAGCGTATGGATTCCAAATAGAAGAGTCTGGGTTACAGCGTATGGATTCCAAATAGAAGAGTCTGGGTTACAGCGTATGGATTCCAAATAGAAGAGTCTGGGTTACAGTGTATGGATTCCAAATAGAAGAGTCTGGGTTACAGCGTATGGACTCCAAATAGAAGAGTCTGGGTTACAGCGTATGGATTCCAAATAGAAGAGTCTGGGTTACAGCGTATGGATTCCAAATAGAAGAGTCTGGGTTACAGCGTATGGATTCCAAATAGAAGAGTCTGGGTTACAGCGTATGGATTCCAAATAGAAGAGTCTGGGTTACAGCGTATGGATTCCAAATAGAAGAGTCTGGGTTACAGTGTATGGATTCCAAATAGAAGAGTCTGGGTTACAGTGTATGGACTCCAAATAGAAGAGTCTGGGTTACAGTGTATGGATTCCAAATAGAAGAGTCTGGGTTACAGCGTATGGATTCCAAATAGAAGAGTCTGGGTTACAGTGTATGGATTCCAAATAGAAGAGTCTGGGTTACAGTGTATGGATTCCAAATAGAAGAGTCTGGGTTACAGCGTATGGATTCCAAATAGAAGAGTCTGGGTTACAGTGTATGGATTCCATATGTTCTCAGTCACTCAGAGAAGAGTGCAGCTGCCATAATCAGATACTACTGAGGCCAATGCAACCACCAGTTTACTATGCACAGAGGACTCAATGCCAATGAAGAAGGAACTGACTGAACACTACCTTACTGTTATTACCTAGAATGTAAGTGGATTATTGTGTTATGATATAAGTGATGTGTTTTTGTCTGTGGTTTATATTTCTAGAGCAGTGGTGTCCAAACCAATCCTCAAGGCATGCCCACAGTCCAGGGTATGTCAGCATTCCACCAAAACAGGACTAGGAACTGCCTCAATTGTGACCTGTTGATGTAACTCGTGGATTGTTGGCCTAATTCCTGAAATGTTGGTTTAACTCCTGAACTGCTGGTGTAATTCCTGAACTGTTAGTGTAACTCCTGGACTGTTGGTGTAACTCCTGGATGGCTGGTGTATCACCTGGACTGTTGATGTAACCCTCAGAGAATTGGTGTGACTCCTGGACGGTTAGTGTGTTTGGGGATACTGGCTTAGAGCCTTGTATTCTATACTGTGCAATGGCAGAACTAATGTAGAGAGGGCTCTGGTGTAAGACATCTGTGGGCCCCTCTCCAGCACAAGAGTGGCCAACAGGTAGATTCCCATCTGTCATAAAACTCCCATATTTGCCAGGCCACGGCATCTCTGACTCATTTACCCATCAATGTACCCCTTGTATATACACAAAGACTGAGCTGTGCTCCCAGGACAGTTTTTCTGTGACTTATTGATGGATTTTTGTTTTATTAAAGGCAAACTATAAAATGTAATCAAATTGACTTTCTGTAAGTAATTATAACTCTATGGAGCAGAACAAAAATACGTAAAAAACAAAAGCACAACGCATCATCAACTTTAATAGTCGGAAGCTCATTTGGTCCCTAATAAAAGCAGCAAACAGCCCTGGTAGTGAGTGGCAGTAGTAAGATACAGTAGTAGGCTTGGGATCGATCAGCGCTTGATTCCAGGAGGTCAATCAGAAATCAGTATTGATTGGGGATCTTTAAGAAGCTACAGCGAATCCATTATATCTCATCAGGCGGCCTCACTGAGGAGAGAAACAATAGGTTATTTTATATCAAATCATCATTGAACGATATCAGATCAAAACACATTGTATCCAACTACCAAAGCAGCTCCTAGAACTATACAGGGGACTACACTAGACAGCAAGTTGGTGATAGGGAAACTACATTACCCATAATTCCCAGCAAGTCCTAGCTATATAACACTGGCCTAGTACTTCCAAGGAGATTGAATGGCAGCCTGTGCTCTAATCTTTAAATATTTATTATTATCATATTATCAATGTGGGTCTGCTTCTAGCTTCTGTCTAACATGCACGCGTTCATTTTCCCCAAATTAATCACAATCTGTTGATAATAATGTTAATAAGCACCGTAACTATATAAATGTGTGAGTTGAATTCAGTAGATCAAGAAACATCTATTACGTTTAGTGTAACTGAATTTTTAATATATGATAACTTTACTATAAATGTTAACAGATTTTACAGCACTGTTACTTCTTGAATACAGGTAGCTTGTGCTTGTCATTTGATAATACATTTTATGAGTTATTTGCCTTCTTTATAGTGCCCTCTGTGAAATAATTCCACATAATCAAAGCCATAACATACGACACAGGGCATATGGTGCTTATACAGACAGATCTAAACAAAAACAAAGATATATTATTTAACTGCATGGTCCGAGCAGCATTACCGCAACAACAAAGTCTCGAGTCGCTAGCACCACCAGTGGTTTTATGTAAAACCATTGATAAGAATTAATAAAATCCATGGGATATTCTGGGTTTCAGAAGCTAAACATGGGGAACATTAACACAACTTACATCACTTCTGTTTTATATCTCTTCAAAGCCTCTGCCGCCACTAACTCCCCAAACTTGGGATCTTCCATTGGGATATCTCCAGGCACCATGAAAGTAAACGGATCATGGTCAAAGAGCTTAACTGTCACCTTCGTGTCAGAGGGATCTTCTCCACTTTTAGTCTTGGAATAAACCTGAAGATGAGATCACAACATTAATTCACTTTATCACTACACATAATCGGAGCTTTGAGCATGTTGTATTTTATCCAGTTATGATCATTGGATTACTTCCACTAAAAACAAAATACTAAAATATACTTTTTTTTATTCACAAGGCTGCAGAACTTAGCGAGATTCTTGTTATTTCCAAAATGCACCGGCTAATCCTGTTGTGCTGTGTAATACAAAAAGGTTTCAAGCAAGCTGTAACACTGCTTAAAATACAGCATGACAGAGTATAAAGTCTTGGACGGAAATTAACTGATAACCAGAAGCAGTGAATCACATCCTGTGTGGTCCAGCACGGACAGCTGAAAATGTAGACTTTACAACAGTCACACCCGGTAGTTTTCAAAGACCCCTCAGTACTCAATAAGAAATGCAGGACTCTTATTGTAAAGCTTATTTTCTTAGTTATCTCAGAGTTGGAAAACTGAGACAACAATAAGGTGTTTAAGGGAAAACACGAATTGTGTATAAATAAAATCTACACACTTACACTTTCTAAAGACCCAGACGGCTTTGAAATAAATACATTTTTGCACACAAGTTGCATTTTATTTCGATTTGTTTGGGTGAGAGCATTACTTACAGTAGCAATTTGGAATATTCCGTTCTTCTCATTTTGGGTCATGTTGGCAAGCCTCGACACCCACCCAAACTGCTGATTAAGACGTTCCAGCAGACCAGTTGTATTGAGCATCTTGTCCCGGAATTCCTGAAGCTGATCATCGTATTGTTTGGTGAATTTTTCTGCTAGGCGCACAGAGTCCACGTATGTCTCCTTTAAATGTTGTTGTACTGGATCTATTCCGGAGCAGTCTGAACACATCAACAACAACAACAACAAAAATGAGAGGTATGGGGTACATCTTATGTTGTCCTATATTGGGACCGTAGATAATCAAAAACAACAATTCTACACTGAAAAAACACATGTCTATTGTAAATCATGCTCATTACAGAAAGAACTAATCAATAAAGAAAGAAAGAAAGAAAGACAGAATTTAAAATATCACACAATGGCATTGTGTGTGATGAAAGACACCCCATGCAGTAACGCAAATACTTGTAGTCATTCACTAACTGTCTAAAGCAGAACATGTATTTAGAATTATTTATTGCATATTACATATGTAGATATATTTAGAAACAGATACAGCATTTAACTATTTGAGTGAGGCTAATGCAGAGTGTATATTCCAATACACAACAATGTCAGAAAGCAGAATTGGAGCTTCATAAATCCCATCACGGTGATACTCTACGCATGAACTCCAACATGGCGTCCATGCCAAGAGTATACCCGTGATGGAATTCATACCAACATACATACCAACAGCACAACACAGCTTCAGCCTCCCCTCCTTCTATCGTCTTATCTCTCAATGCTGTGAATTATGCTGATATTAGCATTCAGACTTCTATCAATATTTATAACCACTTAGTGCACCCCACTGAACCGTTCCTCGTTTTTACCGATTGCCAGAATCTCCTTGCATTTTTCACATTTCTCTTGCAGCTTAAGACAGCCTGCTGAATTGCGTCTTAGTTCACGACAAACCATCTTGCCATCAGTAGCATTTCCTGAGAAGTAAAAAACAACTCGGTGAGTTAATGGACATTTTGTAATGAAATTATCTGGGCTGGCGAAAGGAACACTCTAACTATTATATATTTATTTTTTTAGTTACATGACTGGTGTATAGTCGCCATATGGGCCGTCGGAACCTTGGACAAAACTCCCAAATTCAATATAAAACCCCAACATATATAACACATATATATATATAACAATTTTCAACATTACTCCAACATGAACAAATTTAAGTGCCAACCATAAAGTAAACACGGCAGGGATATGCCCGGATACCCCTACCCCGCAGGTTCTGAGCCATCTCCAGGACTCAAAACCTACCAACCACCAATGACCACAATTTTCCACGTCCATCACGTTCCTCATGGGGAGCCTATTTCCTCTTCTTCAGTTCCCTATCCTACCGCTGTGACAAAACGGGATAACCCCCATTCGCAAAACCAAATCCTAGGGAGGGTGGGTGGGACAAACTCCACCAGGTAGGAGATTAAAGTGCTCATTCCAAAATGGCTACCTATTTAAATAGCCAAACCCCTTTTCCCACAACCCACCAGTCCTAGCCGCTTCCTCCTAAGCCCGCCTCCTAACCCCTGTCAAGGTCCTTTTTTCGCTAAGCTGCGCTTTGGCTACATGGGGCTACATGTGTCTTTTACTAGTTTTAGGTTTAGGGCCTCTTCTTTCTTTAAAAAAAAAAAAAAAAGGTAAAAAAAAACATTAAGCTTACTCTACCACCAGCTAGATTCTCAATTTGCCCTCAGTGAGATCATCATACTTAATGATCTCTGGTCCAATCAGATGCTTCTCATAGAAGCACTCTGGTCTATGGCACATTATTACTTTCCACCAATCCAATACTTCTCATAGAGAAACAGTTAATCCAATGCTTCTTCTCTGTGGCATTCACCATCATCATGCTTTATGTGAAGACACCAACACTTAAGGCTCTCAAAAAACAAAGGTCTTCAATGAGGAGGTGCCTCTAGTCTAAGGTGTGTTTTTGGACAAATGCCAATCAGATTTCTCATTGTATCCACAACCTGTTCAAATGCATATCAATTATATCCCTGAACATCCTGTTTATGCAAAAAAGCATCAAAGCATCTAAAAAATATATATATCTGTAGAATCTGATAACACAACCTCTATAGGCAGATAATTCCACATCTTTATTGTTCTTACTGTAAAGATCTCTTTTCTCTGCTGTAAGTGAAAACTCCTTTCTTCTGGTCTCAATGGGTGACCCCTTGTTTGTTGTATATTCCTGCTAATGAACAGGTTAGCACACAGCGGTTTGTACTGACCCTGTATATATTTGCATAGTGCTGTCATATCCTCCCTGAGGTGCCTTTTTCAAAGAAAACAAATGCGTTTTTTTTTATAACAGTTCTGTATAGCTAATGTTTTCTATCCCCTTTAGTAAATTTATAGCTCTTTTTCTAGTTCTGCAATATCCAGTATTGGTTGTTTCTATATTAAAACAAACTGAGTTATTCATTGATACCATAAAATGACCACACATGTCCTCCTCATAATATCTTCATGTTGAAAATGACATTGCTGACAATTCGAGTAAGAGTGATAACAAATAACTTCTGCATAACCCATTGTCCCATTCTCATTCATCGATTCATGCCCACGTCCTGATTTTTTTTTTTTTTTTTGACAATCTTTATTTTCAAGTTTTATCATTTTTTCAAGGAAAGATGTAGTAACGGTATAACGTCAATTTTAACATCAGTGTTCTGAATAGCTTAACAACATTCGTCACCATTGTTTTAGCATTCTCAAAACAGTTTTCTCAGACAATATTTCTATAGTTTCCATCGCATGCATTAGGTAGGATTATTTTAGGTCAAGTTTCTAGTCTCGCATCCCCACTAGCCTACAATGCGCAGTTTATTGCACCTATGGTGTGCGCTTTACGTGTAGGGTGTGAATCGGTGTCTAGTCTGGGTGCTGTGGGGGGTAAGTTTTCTGACACGCTACATTTCTCATTTCACGTTTCATACCAATAGTGTCAGGAGCCTTTTTGTCGCTTGACATGTATATATATATATTGTTGGGCATGGTATAGGGCCACGCTAGCGAGAAAAGATATTTTTAGTGCCTTAACTCCTCCCCAGACTACTCAGCACTTATTAGCTTTCAAGGCCATCTTGTCGCCTGGTTGAGAGCAATGTGTGATGGTTTTGGTTAAGTTCCCCACTATTGTGGGTTGGCAGTTGCTAGTGTATATTTTTGTTTGCCTATCGGTATAGTTTGTCATACGGGAGGATACTCTGGGTATCAGTCTAGGAGGCCAGGAGGGGATATTTTCATGTCCGTATCAGCTCTAGGTTGGGTCTCGGTTTCCTGTGTGTTTTACACCTGTGATTACAGTGGGTGTGCGTATTGATAAGCCCCATTTACGAGCTCGTCAGAGTCGGTCGTTGGGGTTCTGTCCAATGTCCAGTCTCGGGAAAGGGTCAGGAGGTAGGGGACCTTGGAGGGAGGGGTAGCCGGGTGGCTTAGCTCTGTATGAGTCGGTCAACTGCGGGCCTCTGGGGGGCCGTGTTTGGGTTTGCTAATCTGTTGGCTAGGTATGTTTCCCAAGGGTACCAGGTCAGTGCACATTGCTCCTGTCTACCGTGTAGGTCTGCAGTTAAGGACTCCATTGAGTGGATTTCTTCCACCCTTGTCACCCATTGCTGGAGGGTAGGCGCCCCCCTCTGTTTCCACATCACTGGGATAAGGGCCTTTGCCGCGTTGAGTAGTGGCAGCAAGAGGGATTTCTTATATGTCTTAACGGGTGTGGGGGTGTGGTGTAATAGTATCGTTAGGGGTTCTAGGGTTAGCTCCGCATCTGTGATTTTGTTTATCTCTACCCTGATCCTCTCCCAGAATGTGGTAATCTCGGGGCACTGCCACCAGATGTGGAAGTACGTGCCAGTATGCAAGCCGCATCTCCAGCAGGTGTCCGGGGCACCTACGTTCATGCGATTGAGTACGTCAGGGGTTCTGTACCAGCGTGTTAAAATTTTGTAGTTCAGCTCCTGGTACTTGGAGCTGATAGAGCATTTGTGTGTGAGAGTGTAAATCTTGTCCCAGTCTTGCACGGTAAGGGCTTCCCCCGAGTCTCTCTCCCAATGATCTTTAAATTTGAGCACCACATCTTCGTTAGTTTGGGTCTTGAGTATGGTATGTATAGTGGAGATACCTCTGTGTACGTGTGTTCGGTGTACGCACAGGTGTTCAAAGCTGGTGAGGGGTCTAGTCAGGTGTCCTCGACCATGTAAGGACTTGAAGTACGTCTTAACTTGGTGGTATCTGAATTGTTCGAGTATCGTCGGTGGTCTATCTGGGCAGAGGTTTCTGAGTGGTTTAAGTCCCTGAGTGTCGAGCCATTGGTGCAGGTACATCCAGTCTGCCTGCTGGAGGCCGGCTAGGTCTTGTGGGGTTAGAGCATCGGCCAGGTCTGGGTTATGTGTGATGGGTGTCAAGGGGCTAGGAGAACTTGTTAGTTGCAGTCGGTAGCGTATAGCTATCCACACTCGGAGCGTTGCGTCAATTAGTGGGTTCTCGGTGTGCAGGTCAGTGTATGTGGCTGTATGTAGCCAAAGCCTAGAGGGTATTTTTCTATCGGTTTGTTCTAGCTCAATGGTCACCCATTGTTTTAATGGGTGTTGTGCGTGCCAGTCCGTCAGTCTGTGCAGGTGAGCGGTGCGGTAATATGTCTCTATAGAGGGCAGTCCCGTGCCTCCCATTAGTTTTGGTAGTTCCAGGGTTGATTTTTTTATTCGGGTTGGGCGAGAGTTCCAGACGAATCTGCGGATGGCAGTCGTCATAGAGCTAAAAAAGGCTCTGGGGAGAGTAATTGGCACTGTTTGGAATAGGTAGAGTATCCTGGGTAACGCATTCATTTTAATCGCATTGATACGTCCGAACCAGGAGATGTAATATGGGGTCCATTTCTTAAGGTCTGTCTGAAGTGAGAGTAGGAGGGGGAGATAGTTATGGTGGTATAATTGGCACGTCCTGATTTTGTTCTAAATCTGTAGGCAAACAATGCAGCTTTATTACACGTTGAGGAACAAAGATGAAGGAACTGAAGGGTATCTGGAAATTCTCAGAAAGTGACAGATGAAGCCTTTAGTCACTATCTATGCATGGTGACATCCCTTGGGTTTTCTGATAAAGTATTTGAAGTGTGTTAATCATGCAGTCAAAATACAATGACACCAACTTTTTTCGTTTTTCAGTGGTTCCAAATTAATTATTCCTATGGAACCGTTGGTGCACCAGCATCATGGAAACTCACAAATGATTGTGCACAGTAGCACAAACCTCCTAATAACACTTTTCAAAGGATTCTGTTTTGCTCTCAGCTCTTGCTAAGCAAGAAAAGTGCCAGTGATTTTTGGGTCAGTATTGGAGCAAAATGCACTGTTGTAATTAAAAAAAAAAAATAATAATAATAATTTCGATTGAAGTTTTACAAAAAGAAAAAAAAACAACCCAAGTAAATTAGCAAAAGTGTGATATACAAATATTTTCAGCAGCACATTTTTAACCAGCAGAGACTCACTCAAAATAATAACAAACAAGCTATCCTCAGATGCCATAGTGAGCACTGATCTAAAGGGCAGAACAATAAAATGAATAATTTCCCTCCTATATGAAGCCTGATTGGGTACAATACTGATTGTAGGTTTCCTACACGTGATCGTCCTGTATCAATACTCACAACCATCGGAGTGAGCCTGAAATGGGCGACATCGGGCGGGAATAAGATTGGGGTCTTGCGATCTCTGCTGTTACTGACTTTCGGCAACAGTGGGAGGTGGTGACCATCTTGGATATGGCAAAATCGCAGCAGAACCCTGGGAAATGCTGCTCGATTCATTAAATATATCATAAAAATAATGCCAAGTTCTAACTGTAAAGTTTAATTTGGATATCGCTATAAACTTGTAGTTTTGTGGCAGAAAGGTTTGCAGATCCAGAGAAACCTTATAAAATATACGTCCTATCCTCTATATTGTTTGTAGGTAATGTAGTAGACCCTTGAGAGCCCTTGCATGATGGATGTCCCATGGACTGGGTTAATCCCATTAAGGCAGTGAACAGGTTAGTACACCGCAGAACGTGCCAAAAAAAAGGTACAAAAACATCAAGTTAAAAAAATAAATAAAAAAATGTTATGGTATATTGGCATTTAAACTACTTAGAAGTATTTCTATAATGCTTAAATTATTTTTACAATGGATAAAATGCTATTTTTTGTAATGTTTCTAATCATAGATTTACTTGGCACGTATGACAGACAAGATTTACAAATTTAAGGTGTCAAGGGAAACTGTTCAACCATGATAAGATACTGTAACAAAGTGAGAGTAATTTCTACATAAAATGACCAAAAAAAAACCAAAACAAACTGAGTTATAACCCAAGAATAAACAGTGCTACCAACCAACCAACCAGAAAATAAATTGTGTGCATGAGTAGTATATAAAACTATGATTTGATTGTGTTATATAAAAATCTAGTCATTACTTATTTAAAAAAATAATTGTGGCTGTAGAACTTAGTTTGTTTTGGTGCTAAGTTGGCCTGAACTTTTTGGCTGTGATTAGTTTCCCACCTGCCAGCACCCTCAAATAGAGCACCCCCAAGGAACCAAAACACCAAGAAAGGGGTTGCACCTTCACATGGTATCAGTGGTCTGGCTGTCTCTGCCTGCCTATGTCAATATATTGAAATCTTTTAGCACTGTGGTCACAAAGTAACCATTCCATTACCTTCTCTTCCATTCCACATCATCCCATTATGTGCCAAGTGATGATTTCTCTCCATCATTTTCTGTGCTGCTTCAAACAGTGACTCAAAATTTCCAGTGAAATATGGGTTAAATTGCAGAGACCTTTCCCTGCGTCTTTCTGAGCCTGAAAATGGGAAACCTAAACGCTGGATAGGGAACGGGTTCCATTGGGGTTCCAAGAAACTTCTATGGAAGGGACTATTAAACATCTGTCTCATTTGTCCAAAAGCTTTGATGCTATCCTGAAAGATCTTATCCACGCTGTCTTCCACAACGCTATAGCCATCCTCCAGATCTTCAAGGGTCATGTGCTGTTCCTCGTCCTCCTTAGTGAGTGCGTCTATCTTCTCTCCATTAATCAGTATTGTAAACGGAGAAGATCTGTTTAAGAATTCTTCAAACTGCAATGAAATCATATACATGAGTAAATTAAAAAAAAAAAACATGATCACACATTATACACCCATAATGGCTAATAACATCCAATATAGGAACATGTTGTTTTAACACTTCTCCAAGAATACAGTAGTATATGGAGCCACGAGGGACCATGCTCTGGGACCAGAGTATCAACAGTAATAAAAACACCAGAACTTCCTGACAGACAAACGTTTCCACGTCTAATGTGATATATATCAGGACAGAGTGTCACATCTTTTTTTATGGAAGAGTCAGGTTCTTGGGTGGTGCTCAATATATGATAACTTTATCTCATTGCCCATGTGCAAGAAGATCTGTGGAGGATCCAATGATCTCACAGGATTTTCCATTAATCCCATTGTTTTACCAATAAAGGAATCTGACTGGTGACAGCATTTTCCATTAATCCCATTGGTTTACCAAAAGAGGATCTGCCAGGTGGCAGGATTTCCCATTAATCCCATTGGTTTACCAATAAAGGAATCTGACTGGTTACAAGATGGAAGAATTTCTGGAAAGTATATATCCTTCTCCCATGGCATCACCATACAGCCAACATGTCCCCTGGGGGAGATCACGGCAAATAACATGGGACTACACACGTGAGAAGGCTTCTTTCTGGGTGGTGCAATATTCATATACAACTTAACATTCCACCGTCCATACTATCTATCTATATTTCGTCTTAGTCTTAGATCATTATTATCCACTTGGATTCTGTAATGCTATTTCAAGTTTATTTCCTAAGCAATTTAAATTTGGAATATAAATCTCTACGTGCAACTCCCCGTTTCAGCTCTTCTTGAAAAGGTCACTTGCCCAGTGAGACTCTGCTAGGTAACCTGACTGACACAGTGTGAGAACTGGGAACACACATATGGTATTATTGCCTGCAGGATTAACACCACAAGGCTGGCTCTTACTCCTAGCACCATCTAGTAAATCCTTAGTGGCGTTGCGTTTTCTATGGTTTCTGAGGGGGGGGGGAGGGTTTGATCTAATCAGAGTCTTATTTTTCAGCCATTTTTTTCTGCCAACTCAGATAAGTCAGAGAGTAATTTTATTCTACTGTTATTTTCCTGCAACAGCATAGAAAATTAAAACAATTTCAAATAAATCTCCTTCTTAGAACTCACCTGGCGTCCTACAAGACCCGAGCCGCTTCTACATGTTTTAGAGTAAAATCGTACACATGTCTGTTTGAGGCATGGTTTGCATTCCTCCCATAAGGCGAGCATGGTCTCGTTGCAAACCTCCTGCTTCTCCGTAAGTTGCTGCTCTGAATCTAAAGCTCTCCTGAGAGCTTCCTGGGAATGACCACAGACAATGATATACACAGATTGGAACAAAAGATGAAGCAGATATACATTGTTCAAACAGACCGTGCATGCACCATCAATGTGTATTTACCCTGTACTTACTACACACATATACATTGTTCAAACAGACCATACATGCACCATCAATGTGTATTTACCGTGTACTTACTACACACATATACATTGTTCAAACAGACCGTGCATGCACCATCAATGTGTATTTACCGTGTACTTACTACACACATATACATTGTTCAAACAGACCATGCATGCACCATCAATGTGTATTTACCCTGTACTTACTACACAGATATACAGTGTTCCAACAGAACCTGCACATATGGTCTTTACATATAGATATATATATATTGGATATACAGGGTAACAAAATACAACACATGCACTATACAACATCAAACCATATACATACTGTCTATAACCTCTGACGTGTGCATACAGATAATGCACGTGTATAATCTTGCACAGAATAAATAAAGACAAAAGATAAATAACTTTATGAGATATTAAATCTCAGATGTTTTCATTCCCGAAGTGTCACTGCAAGCACTCTAACCATTTCTTCTCATTGAATTGTCTATAGAGCCTGGTGTCCCTTGGCATTATCCCTCCATTTGACTCCCCAGGTACATAAAGGCAGGCTACTAAGTGTAATGTAGAGAGGGTGCAGGACAGTTTGCTTAGTGCTACCCAATATCCAATATAGGCCACAAGTTAATATTTTTGGATAAGCTTTTCAAATTATTTAATATTTGTGGAAGAACTTTTAAATTGATTTTATATTTTGAAAATATTTTGATATATATTTTTATATGATATATTTTTGATATTTCAATAGTATTAAAAAAAAATAGTTTTGAAAATATATAAAAAAATATGAAAACATTTAAAAAGCATTTCCAAAGATATAAAAATACCCCAAAGTAGTTTAATTTCACAGTTAAAAAGGACATTAATTAGTTGCATCAGTTTACACAGAACCTGATTTATATAATAATGACTAGATTGCAAAGACCCAAATAATCACTTACTAATAATGCTATTACCTCTTTATTCTTTTTGGTTTCCTCCAGACTGTGCAGAATCTCCTGGTGTTCTTTCCCTGTGTTGTCCATGAGAACTTTCATATTTTTCACACCATTTATTGCATTTTCAAACTGTTCGGTGATGTATTTACTGCCCTGCACTGACATGTCTACAGGTCGAGACAAGAAACTGGTTAATGTTTCTCATAATGCAAAGTCATAATTTACATTTTAAGAGATTCGTAAATTTATATTTATCCTAAAATTTTAACACAAGAGAATTTTAATATTTCAAAGAAATGTCTAAAAATATTGTACATGTCCCTGCAGGTGGCAGAGAATGATGGAATATGTAGCACATCAACTGAAGGTGGTCTTTGCTGCCATTGATTTAACAAGGTCCATTCCACTGCTCCATCTTTAAGTGCCTTGACTTCAGGAAGTTAAATTTGGGATTGTTATATCAGCACAGTTTTCTTCAACATTCTAATGAAGAACACGTATGTTACACGTTAGCACTGACTGAGCGAGGGATGGGCTCTATTAACGAAATGTTATGTAACTGGAGTGAATTATATGAATTATGCAATTTAATGATGTAAGTGGATGCTATACACTTGAATCTACATATTTACCAAATGATCTGTAGCACCATTCAAAATGCATTGATGTCCAAACTAGCCATCAATATGGTAATATCGATTAATAACAATATTTCAGTTCTGGTTATAGTTCTTAAAAGGGGGATTTATGTCCCATATTGTGTTTGTTATAGTTGTAACAATGAATAATTCCGACAACCAGCCTTGTGTTGTCTTTAAGGGGACTTGTGTGTCTTCCTAGGTTCGAGTTCTTGAAAGGTATGTGGCAATGGTTACAACTACTAAACGGGGAGGGGTAATGGTTGCACCTACTAAACGAGGAGGGGTAATGGTTACATTATTATTTATTTTTAGTCTTTTTAAGTTTTTTTCATTTTTTAATTATTATATTAGTCTCTTTCTTTCCTTGTAGCAACATATTTTATATATTTTAAAAGATTGATATTAAACAATAGGTAAAAACAAAGAGAACATTTAATAATTTCTTCTTTTTTTATTACGGTAGTTATATATTTTTGGGGGTAGTATATTTTTTTAAAATAATAAAAAAAATAGTTTGAATTAGTTTAAATTTAATATTGTCTAGCTTTTTAACAATTAATCTAGCCAGTACTAAATATATTTCCAAGAGTTAGCATGTAATAGCATCCTTTACATAAATATAGATTAATCAATTTAACTCTTGATTACGTAAAATGAAGCACACAATATTTAGTCGATTTATATATATATGTAATATGTATAATAAAAATAAAGAATGATGTAATCAATAAATATGAATTGCTAGTGCTTTATTTTTCTATTAATAATCATAAGAAGTATTATATTAGACTTGGGGCAATACGAGAGTGCGTCATTAAAGGTATCTAGTATCTTGTAGAACGGAATTCATTTTTTATGTAGTCCTTGCACCACACATGAGTCCATACCGTAACCTGCTGAAGTGGCTTGGTGCACAGCTGCAAACAGTGCGGGGGGGAGGGGGGGGGGCACTAACAGGGAGCGCTATCATATACGGTTGAGCATTTAAAGTGTACTTTTGTTGACAGCTAGTATCTAATCTGAAGGCATTCATCTTGATTTTAGAATCACACTTGGATTTTAATATTGAGTTTGAATAAAATAATTGTGCACTATGAAGGCCTACAGCTGGGCTTTGTTTTAGATATATCTACTAAACCTAAAAGGTACAAGAATGTCATATATAACATACATTTTGGGAGACAGCAGCCAAGTGCATGTGAATAATTACAGTGATTGTCTGTTCCATGAGAGGATTAATGATGTTAATGATTTTATAAAGATGAATGGAAAAAGTTTATCCTCTTCGAAGGAAAATCAAAAGTCTTAAGGAAGAACAGCTGTTTCTCCGAAGTGGCAAAGCTTTATATTATCCAAATAAAGGGCTGTATCTTTGCACCAAAATCACTTCACCAAGATTTAGTCTTTTGGTGCTGAGTGCATCCCTGTAATAAAATATCATCGGGGGTTCCAGCTCCTATTAATATTTTGGGTATTGAGTGGATACTATCTAGTATTCTACTTGCAGACAGACCCAAGAGACTACTGGCAGCAGAATTTAGATGGATATTTTAACTAGACTGATGTAATGAGGAATTAGATACAGTGAATATGTAAAGGTATTCTTATAATCTACTATGTTTCTTGGCACTGGTGGTTTGTTGAATAGATTTTATACTGCTCACTAGAAGTTATGCAAATATTATCTTCTGAGAAAGTCCTTCGGGGGAGAAATGTGTAATACTGATACCTACACCATCAGATTCTCCTTGCTAATTGTAAGACTCCCCGTATACCCTGTTGCGGACTACCTAAATTCTGGATATTTGGGTTGTCATTCACCAGGTACCACAGCTACTCAGGCGTTGACCCAGTTGATATACTTTGCCGGATTGTGAAGTTTATTATTATCTTTTGGACTTTCCTTGTGCTGTGGACTGTTGGGGTTCTAGTGATCTTGTCTATTTACATACATTGTTGCTGTTTGATATTAAATATTTCACCTGTACACTTCCTTACATAGAAGCTCTATGTACTGTTTATGTGTTTAATGGCATCAGGTTTATTTGCACTGAAAGCATTTTTGATTTAATAAATTATGAAAAATACAAACATCTCAAATTAACGTTTTAATATGTTGCGGCTTTCAGACCTAAGTCACCTCTACGTTGTCACAAGGGTAGCAGTAAATTGTATGTTGGTTTATATTGGATAATTAGAACAGGCACATAACAGTACAGAGTTTATGCTCAGCGTTAGATGTATTCCAGTGAGAGTAAGTAAAAATTATTGCTTTCGTTACAGGGACTCTATAGTCACCAGAACAACTGCAGCTTATTGTAGTTTAGGTAAGTTTTCTTATCTTTTAAGGGGGCTAAAGGGTTCTGACCCTATAGTGTTCCTTTAAAAGTCAAATTGTAGCTTAGTAACACTAGGTGTGGACTTTTTCTAGGTGAAAATATAAGCTTTATAATCTCGGCTGTACAGTCTGAGTTTCCGAGTCGCAGTATTCTGATGAATATATCACTTCTCATACAGCTGTTACTTTATCAACTCAGCCATCTCTGAAATCAGTTGAAACTTAGAGATGACTTGCGAAAAGTTTGATTACTGTGTTAAAAATGTCGAAAAACACCAAAGCAAAAAAACTGTAACTAACTGATCGGGAACTTTGAGCAATTTGAGGGCTGGAGAAAGATCACACTTTGTAAGGACTACTTCCACTTAAACTGTCAGTAGATGATTAGGTAGCATAGTACAGGAATGAAGAAAAATGTAACTTCACGGTTATTCATTAATAAAGGGACACTATAGTCACCAGAACAACTACAGCTTATTGAATTTGTTCTGGTGAGTAGAATCATTACCTTCAGAGAAAATGCAGTGTTTACATTACAGCCTAGTGGTAACTTCACTGGCCACTCCTCAGATGGCAGTTAGAGATCCTTCCTGGGGCAGTGCTCAGTGGCGTCTCTAGGATTCATTTTTAGGGGGGCACATTTAACCCCGCCCCTGCCACATATTAAGCCCCGCCCCAAACACAATGTGCTGGGCTTTTTTAATAATCCCTGGTGGAGAATTCATTATTTTCCACCAAGGATTATTAAAAAACAAAAACATTTCCCTTGATACAGTCCATACACACACACACACACATAGACACACAGACTGCTGAGTCCATACACACATACAGACTGCTGAATCCATACACACACAGTGCTGAGTCCATTCACACATACAGACTGCTGAATCCATACACACACAGTGCTGAGTCCATACACACATACAGACTGCTGAGTCCATACACACACAGTGCTGAGTCCATTCACACATACAGACTGCTGAATCCATACACACACAGTGCTGAGTCCATACACACATACAGACTGCTGAATCCATACACACACAGTGCTGAGTCCATTCACACATACAGACTGCTGAATCCATACACACACAGTGCTGAGTCCATACACACATACAGACTGCTGAGTCCATACACACACAGTGCTGAGTCCATACACACATACAGACTGCTGAGTCCATACACACAGACAGACTGCTGGGTTCATACACACACAGACACAAACACAGACTGCTGAGTCCATACACAGACACAAACACAGACTGCCAAGTCCATACACACACAGACTGCTGAGTCCACACACACACAGACTGCTGAGTCCATACACACACACACAGACTGCTGAATCCATAGACACACACACACAGACTGCTGAGTCCATACACACACAGACTGCTGAGTCCACACACACCCAGACTGCTGAGTCCATACACACACACACAGACTGCTGAATCCATAGACACACACACAGACTGCTGAGTCCATACACACACAGACAGACTGCTGAGTCCATACACACACAGACAGACTGCTGCGTCCATACACACACAGACACACACACAGACTGCTGAGTCCACACACACACACACACACACACAGACTGCTGAGTCCATACACACACACAGACTTCTAAGTACATACACACACACTGACTGCTGAGTCCATACACACATACAGACTGCTGAGTCCATACACACATACAGACTGCTGAGTCCATACACACACACTGCTGAGTCCATACACACACACTGACTGCTGAGTCCATACACACAAACAGACTGCTGAGTCCATACACACACACTGCTGAGTCCATACACACACACACTGACTGCTGAGTCCATACACACATACAGACTGCTGAGTCCATACACACACACTGATGAGTCCATACACACACACAGACTGCTGAGTCCATACACACACACACACACAGACTGCTGAGTCCATACACACATACATACTGCTGAGTCCATACACACGCACTGCTGAGTCCATACACACACAGACTGCTAAGTCCATACACACACACACACACACCCTCACAAACACAGACTGCTGCGTCCATACACACATACAGTCTGCTGAATACATACACACATACAGACTGCTGAGTTGTACACACAAACAGACTGCTGAGTCCATACACACACAGACTGCTGAGTCCATACACACATACAGACTGCTGAGTCCATACACACACAGTGCTGAGTCCATACACACATCCAGACTGCTGAGTCCATACACACACACACACACACACACACACACACACAGAGACTGCTGAGTCCACACACACACTCACAAACACAGACTGCTGAGTCCATACACACATACAGACTGATGAATCCATATACACATACAGACTTCTGAGTCCATACACACACACACACAGACTGCTGAATCCATAGACACACACACACACACACACACACACACACAGACTGCTGAGTCCATACACACAAACACACACATACTGCAGAAATCCACACTCACAAACACAGACTGCTGAGTCCATACACACATACAGACTGCTGAGTCCATACACACATACTGCTGAATCCAAACACACACAGACTGCTGAGTCCATACACACACAGACACACACACACTGCTGAATCCAAACACACACACACACTCACACATACACACACAGACTGCTGAGTCCACACACACACACACACACACACACACACAGACTGTTGAGTCCATACACACACACAGACTGCTGAGTCCATACAGACAAACACACACAGACTGCTGAGTGCATACACACACAGAGACTGCTGAGTCCATATACACACACAGACTGCTGAGTCCATACACACATACAGACCAAGCTGAGTCCATACACACACACACACTGCTGAGTCCATACACACATACAGACTGCTGAGTCCATACACACACTGCTGAGTCCACACACACACAGACCGCTGAGTCCATACACACACACACACACACACACACACTGCTGAGGCCACACACACACACACACACACACACACACACACTGCTGAGTCCATACACACACACACATACTGCTGAGTCCATACACACACACACACAACACACACTGTTGAGTCCATACACACAGACAGACTGCTGAGTCCATACACACAGACAGACTGCTGAGTCCATACACACACACTGCTGAGTCCATACGCACAGACAGACTGCTGACTCCATACACACACACTGCTGAGTCCATACGCACAGACAGACTGCTGACTCCATACACACAGACAGACTGCTGAGTCCATACACACACACAGACTGCTGAGTCCATACACACACACTGCTGAGTCCGTACACACACAGACCATGAGTCCACACACACACACACACACACAGACTGCTGAGTCCACACACACACACACACACACACACACAGACCAAGTTGAGTCCACACACACACACACACACACACACAGACTGCTGAGTCCACACACACACACCTCACAAACCGCTGAGTCCTATACACATACAGACTGCTGAATCCATTGTATTAATACTACATGACTGCTGAGTCCATTGTCATGACAGACTGCTGAGTCCATACACACACACTGCTGAGTCCATACACACACAGATCTGCCTAGTCCATACACACACACACGGACACAGACTGCTGAGTCCATACACACACACACACACAGACTGCTGAGTCCATACACACACACACAGACCAAGCTGAGTCCAAACACACACACACACACAGACTGCTGAGTCCAAACACACACACACACACAGACTGCTGAGTCCATACACACACAGACTGCTGAGTCCAAACACACACACACACACACACAGACTGCTGAGTCCATACACACACACACACACACAGACTGCTGGAGTCCACACACACACACACACACAGCCACAGACTGCTGAGTCCAAACACACACACACACACAGACTGCTGAGTCCATACACACACACACAGACTGCTGAGTCCAAACACACACACACACACAGACTGCTGAGTCCATACACACACACACACACAGACTGCTGAGTCCACACACACAGACTGCTGAGTCCATACACAAACACACACACATACTGATGAGTCCATACACACAAAGACAGACTGCTGAGTCCATACACACACAGACTGCTAAGTCCATACACACATACAGACTGCTGAGTTCATACACACACACTGCTGAGTCCATACACACATACAGACTGCTGAGTCCATACACACACACACACACACACACTGACACACACACAAGCTTCCTCACTGGCAGGCAGACTGGCAGACACAGACACACACCTGAGCATATCAAGCCTACATCTTCTGGCCTTTCCAGCAGCAGCATGGTCTGCTGCTTAACGGCAGGGCAGGGCTTATGTGCGGGGCGGGCTTATTTTGGGGGTGGGGCCTGTGCCAGGGAAGCTGCTGAAAACACCCAGCACTGTTCCATCTCCTCTCTTCTGTATTCCCTCGGGCTGTCACAGACTGTTACAGGTACAGCCCAAGGGAATAGGCACAGCATGATGTAGGAGGGGGGCATGGCCACCTCTGCCCCCCCCCCAGCGACGCCACTGGCAGTGCTGCACACTGAGCCATACTGCCATTCAGTGTTTCCTCCCTCTGCATGCAGACACTGAACTTTCCTCATAGACATTCGTTGATTCAATGTATCTCTATGAGGAGATGCGGATTGGCCAGGGCTGTTTTTGACTTGTGCTGGCTCTGCCCCTGATTTGCCTCCTTGTCAGTCTCAGACTATTATTATTATTCCTTATTAATATTATTATTATTCCCTATTATTTAGCCCTATAAAAATACCCCTCTCTGTCTCATTAGAGATTTTGGTAAAGGTGACTTCTTAGCTTAGGACTCACTGAAGAGATTTTGCCTTGATTTGGCATTGGAGTGAACGTAAAACCTCCTGACATTTATATAAGCGAGATTTGGGATACTTTATTTTTGGTGTTGTACTTTGTATTTGGGCTGGTGAATACTGTAGCCATTGCTGCTCAATGAGCAGTGGGAGCTTGAGCGCAGGGTTTATATAATGTATATATTCTGTTATACATTAAAAGGTTTTCCAGTCCCTGTGACAGTACGTCCTGCCATTCACAGCTGGTAGTAAGAAAATAATCCACAAACCGCAATATATTCAGTATATATATTTTATTTGTTTATTAGTTTGACTTACCTTTCAGCTGTTCTGGAGAAAGCAGCGATTCGCTGAGGCCAAGCAAAAGCCCCAACAGGAAGACAGGAAAAGCTGTCATTTTCTTTGTCAAATTGAGTTGTTCAGCTCTGAAAAACAAGAACAAAACTTAAAAATGTACGATTTGGGTGGGCCAAGCCGAACTGGCACTCTGAACAGTCGCACACTATAGTGTGGGCCCAAAATCGACGATTACTAAGAGATTACATGCTGGAAATTACCCACAAATAGGATACTTGAACAGAGGAAGCAGCCACAGACCTGCCGATACTAATCATGTCACCCAACTCGACCGGGTACCGCAGCAGCTACATGAGGCCTAGCGGAAGCACGGGGTAGGGCGGCCGCCTTCCCGCCAGATGCTTACCACACCAAACGAGCGGCGTGCAATCATCCCTCCTCCCCCGTGGACTGATGGGGGTTTACCCCGAGCACCGTAACAAGCAACAGGCACCAAGGGGGATCACCAAGATGGCGGATCACTCTGACACGATAGTGTCGGACAAGCGACGGCAACAGCATGCTGTGACGAAGTGCCCTTCGCCACTTGGTCCTGGAGAGGCCTACTTGCCAGCCTCCTCCCCTGTGACTATGACTCTTTCATGTATCTGGCTTTAAAGCCCCTAGTCTACCTTCAGACAGACTATTTATGTAGGCTGCTTTATTTATCTTATGTTTTAGTCACCCTGTACCCATTATAGGTGCAGGGTGTGTGTAATGTAATTGTTTATAGTGTGTGTGTGTACTGTGAAATGTATTGCCTGCTCTCCTGTACTGCTGAGGTTTGCTACCAACTAGGTGGATTTGGCTATGGAGCTTGTCTAGTGCCCTCTGTTAGTAGCAACAGCAATATGCACTACCTGAATAGCAAGACTGGTTCATTTGCATATTCGGGTAGATTTGCATATTGCTAATTCTGCAGGCACGTGAGATATTTTCTGTTAAATATTGTCTCCCCCACCCCTTTAAAAATGTGCCATTGTGTTGTGATAAGTCACTGTGTGTTGCTTGATATGATTTGACTGTTTGTGATTTTATTGAGGTTTCACAACAATGTTATTGTGGTGACCCTATTGGCTGGTCCCAAGGGAAATAAAGGTTTTGACAGTTCTTCTTGATCTCTCTAAACGTAGCCTTGTCTTGTTATTGGAGGGAGCTGTTATAATCACACTGGGGATTGCAATGCTCTGCATGCTCCCCTGAGCTTGAGTCACTTAGCTCTTTTAAGAGCTTGTTCCTGACACGCTCTCCTTGGAGGAGGGGTCTTCACCACACAGTCCTGGATGCTGGAGGTTCATTCAGGGTGGAAGGAAGAGTTCTTTCCCACACAGTCCTGGAGGACAGAAGCTGATCCAGGGTGGAAGGAAGACAGCGAGACTCCAGTCAAGATACGGCGGTTGCAGAGTCTGTGGTGGTTGTGGTGTCTGCTGCAGTGCTTGGAGTCCTCAGGAAGCACTAGGAGCATCCATCAATGGAGGGTACTCAGTCGGAGTACAGGGAGCTCTGTTACACATGCTAACACAGAAACCGTAGATCACACAAAATATTGTATTGCATCAATTTTTGACTGCTTCTGGGCCAAGTTAGCAGCATGCTTGCAGCCTGACACACCAAACCGAAACTCACCCGCGAAGGTCAGAGCCGTTGGCGGAAGGAGGATAGGGGATACTCACTAGGGCAACTCGATGTCCCCTACTCTAAACCCCCACGTCAAGGACCCTCCCTAACTGAGAGCAACAATGGGCATGACCCAGAGGTGCCGGCCACATTGGCGGAGAGTTGTAAAGAGACTACGTAAGCGACTGGCTAAACATCTCTGAACCACCCCACGAGGTGCGACACTGGGCCACACAGGCTCCCAGGCTCATGGCCTACAAGCACCAGCTCCCACAGAGTTCTGGGGTGTCACGGGTGATGTTCCAGAAACCGGGACCCCTGAGTGCCTGATGAGAAGTTGGGAGTCTTCAGCGTGGAAGTGGATTATCCGGGCCTGGTGCAGGGTAACCACATGCCCTCTGGTGTTGAGCTCCAGCGATTGCGCAGCCACATACCAGAACCCTGCTACATCGGATCCCAGGAACTAGGAGCTTGATATGCAGACCTCCCAGGAACTGGATAGGGGGGCTCTGCAGCAGACATGTATCCAGTACAGAAACAAGGCAAGGCTAGGATAGTCACCAAACATGAAAACAAGACAGAACTAGTAGAACCCAGAACCAGAGAAGGATAGGAAGCTAAACCCAGAACATGTACACAATACATAAGGGAACCATTGACTAAACAGGGGCAGGACAGGACAGGATTGTACATGGACTGGGATTACAAACTAAGACAAGATATAATAGGCAAAACAAGAGGAGAAATAACTATATGAAAAGTATGGGGTTTAGTTATATTATATGATCATACATTGCATAAGCCTGCCAACAACGCCAATGTACCCCATATCTGGCAGGTCCTACTCTGCCTAATGTATACTAAAAGAACCATAAGAAACACATATATAGCACTTACCTGCAAGAAAGGGCAGAAGACTTGAGCAGCTGCCTGCAGGAACACTGAAACAAAAGGAATGATGGAAAACAAACGGGTGTGTCAACATAAACAAACATTTAAAGGAAACCAAGAGGCTGGGAATTCCAGGGACGGATTACAGGAATGATCCCAGAAAAACCCAGCATAAAGAAAACCAGAGATAGAATAGAAAACCAGAAAAACCAAGAAAAACTAAACAAGAATTGTAAAAAGAGTACTGGATACCAGAAGCCAAGGCCAGACATCTCTGCAGAATATGGCATGATGTGACACGGGGCAAGGGAGGACCCCCACCTCCAGAACGGCAGGGCTCTACCCAGCTGAGACAGATTCCGGGCGCAAGATCTGGGCCCAGACTGCACTCGTCACTCAGCGGTCTCCAGGCCTGCAGCAACAGAAACAGCACTCCGGGCGCATACTGGAGGAGGGCACTCTACCGAACACCGCATCTGCACGGATACCCGTCCACAGGGACCGAGCACACAGAGGAACACCAGCCAAACAGCGCCTCACCTGATCATGCTGGACCTGACTGAGGACCGTTACCTGACACAGACCAGCAAGAGGGAGACAGGTGACACCACGCCGGACTACAAAATTAACTACCCACTACGACGGATCAGCAGCATAGGCTGAGGCCCGCAGCTGCCTGGCCCCGGCTAGCAACTTGTCTACAGTACTGGACTTAATTAGCCGAAAGCTCAGAGATCAACCCGCACTCGGTCATTTACCTAAGTATATCAATTTGACTAGTATTCTAAACTGCTGGGAATTAGACCTACTTGCATAGCATGAGCATCTGATCTTCTCACTTTAGGTATGCAATAGGACTCTCCTGATATAAACCACTGTAATTATACTGAGCTTCATATATTAACAATACAAGCAATGAGAGGGTTATACAATGTCTTGTAGTTAAACGTCTTGAATTATACCGTCTCACCTAAAAAAAAAAAAAAGTACAATTTATAATATATGTTAGTTTACAACTTCCAGATGTTAGCATTAGACATGTTCACCAGTGAAATTTTCGTTTCGTAGGAAATAATTCGTAAAATAAAAATTTAATTTGTCCATTCCAAATTTGGCCGTAAACCATTTGTTTTTGAACGAAATCCGGTAAAAATTAATTCGTTTTCGTCCATTATGACGAAAATACCACTGTGCATGCGCCCCCCCAAAAAAGCAAGGAGGGAGCCGGCAGAGCTACCAGCTCCCTCCTTGTAATAAATAATATTAATTCCTAACCAGCCTCCCCCCATTTAAACCTATGGGGGTCCGTGACCTATGGGGCTATTAATATAAACGGGGGGACCTAGTGTCCCCCCAGGCCCCTACCCATTTAAAACAACTAGTGACTGCGCCAAAATAACAAAAGGGGGGGGCATAGTGCCCACCCGCACCTCAACTCATGACCCCGCGGGTGGGGGCTATTAATATAAATGGGGGGACCTTAATTAAATAATGTCCCCCCCAGATCCTCACCCAATTGCGGTGGGTGGGGACCCTTACAGACAATTGGGGGGGACCTATTGTCCTCCCCATGGCCCCCACCCAAGAGTGGTGGGTGGGAGGCATAAGTATAAATGGTGACTTAGAGGATTTTTTATTTGGGCTATTTTGACCTTAAAGGAACACTTTGGGCACCATAATAACTTCATAGAAATGCCACGGGGTCACTGGTGCTTTCTAACCTGAAGGGGTTACACCGCTCTCGAACAAACTACAAAGTTCTCCTCCAGCGATGGATCTCTCTCTCCTCAATGGCATCCAGCTTCTTCTATTGTGTTTCAGGAAGCTTGGAGTGCCGCCGGGCAGAGGCGCTGCTGATTGGCTAGAATGGTTAGTTGATACTCTGAGCCAATCAGTACCTCCCCATTCATACAAAAAACATTTCAGCAATGCTCCTGCCTGGCAGCACTCCATGAATCCTGTAACACAACTGAAGAAGTCCGGTGCCGGAGGCAAACTTTGGGGTTAAACCATTTAAGAATGGTTTAACCTTTCATGTAAGAAAGTGCCACAGACCTCCTTCATTTCGATAAAGTGTGCAGAGTGTTCCTTTAATTTCACTTTGAATTCTCACTAATGAATAGCCATGTGAGTTGTATTCATCAAATGTGGAATTGTGAAGTGAAATATTTAGGCCACAACTACTTTGGCTTACAAATGTGCAATACCCTTCTAATTCCTCCCAAAAGTTAATGTTTTAATTAATAAATCCCTATAAGCCAATTAGAAAGCTAATATGGAAACAAAATGACAGGTTGAACCATCATGCGTTACAAAATAACCAAACTTTTATTTAAAGGCTGTTATGAAATATTTTTCCAGAATTAGGAAACTTATGCAACATCCTTATTTTTTTGTAAAACATCTGGGAAAGTCATGTAACACACACACAACAAATTCCATCAGAGGGATTTTCAATTAAAACGATGCGTACATCACTCTGTGCTCAGCAGATGGCACGGATGCCGTGTGCCTTAATTTAAAGTAGGAATTTATAACTCTCTCCTGGCTGTAACAGAGTAGAATGAATTATTGGAATAATTAAAAAAATTTGTCCAGCAGTGGAGGCGCACCGTGTGATACTGCACATTTAGAAGTCTGAAAACCAGCGACCCAAGAATGTTCTGAATTTAAAACTGTTATTGACTTAAAGGGACACTCCGGGCACCAATGCTACTTTAATGCATTTGATTAGGATTTGACCTAATACATATGCTGTATTTTATTTTAATTTGCATTCTCAAATCTATCTTTATTGTTTTTGCATAAAATAAAAATAAATGTTTTGCAGAATACGGCACAATAAGCCTGCCTCTTTAGCCACACCCTCTCATGCCAGAAAAATAATTCCTGATTGTGGTATGTACACAGCCACTGACAACTCTAAGTGATCTTAACTAAAAAACACCCTGCATTAGAAGTAGAGGACACACAGGGGGACATATAGTAAGAATATAACTACCTGTTCTTAGTTTCTCTGACTGTCTGCAGCCAGGTTGTGAATTAACAAAAGATCACTCAGTACTGTCGGGGGTGAGCTGTGTACATACATTTGATAAGGAAGTATTTCTGGCATGAGTGGGCATGGCTAAGGAGGCAGACTTATTGTGCTACATTCTGCAAAACATTTATTTTTTTGTGGAAAAACTATAAAGAGTCGAGCATACAAAAAAATACAGGATATTAATGAGGCCAACAATCTATCAAATGTATTAAAGTTGCATTGGTGCCCGGAGTGTCACTTTAAGGTTACATTACTCCCTCTGCAATAAGACCGTGTTAATATAGAAAGTCCATCCAGAAGCAGCCTGCTTGTCCTACAAACATTGTGCCATGGAGGGTGACCTTGGCAGTGTATTGCCTGCGTAACAATAAATTCAATCAATGTTCGTCTAGCAGATACTTGCTAAGGGCTATCCCTGCACCCAAACAATTTCTATTGATTTATTCTGTAAAAATAATTCACAGCAAGGAGGCTATTTAATATAGGACATGCACCACATCCCTGCATTGAAGGACACAGATTGAAGGGTTTACAAAACAGCTGACACTGACAAGACTTTTATAGCAGAAATCAATATTTCTCTCAAATACAGATATAACGGAGAGAGAAAGAGATACAGGGAGAGAGAAAGAAAAGAGAGGCTGGAAAAAGAGAGAGGTGGAATGGGGGCAACTGGGAGAACGGACATAAAAAGAAACATACAAACATGGTCAAATAAATATAATTTGTCACCTGATGGAATCCCAGAGTATAGTCTAAATGCACTATATTTGTTATGCCCACATTTATATCCATTCTTGACAAGATGGAAGAATCCCTTAATTGTGAATCCTCCTAAATCATCTAATTTGGCAAAAACATTGTGATTAATGACTGGTACTGCTAACATAAGGGGTCATTTCAAACCTTTAATAAACTCCCAACCACGCAAACCCTCCCATAAATTCTCCCCCCAACAAATAACACGTGACAAGAGGCTGGAGGGAAAAGACCATCTCCGGACAACTTTGTTAACACCAGCAGAAAGGGGGCATCCAAGCAACATAAACCACTATAACGGAACAGCCGTAATAATTTAAATAAACAGTTAACAACTTAGCCAAGGTGGCGGTGCTGAGGAACTAGAGGCTCAAACCTGATTCTACACCAGAGAACCTACTGCATCCACCTAGGCAGAGTCATCAGGACTGCAGGACGCTCCTCGGGACGCCCTCTTTCACAAGGAACTGTAGATGGGCAACTCACGGCCTCACTGCTAGGACCCTCTCACTATTAGTAACTGTGAATTTCAAATTTTAGAGTAAAGGTAATTATTGCTGATTTAGCGAATATTTCCAGTTTGTGTTAATCTAAAATGTTAACTTCACTATGAATCCACTTTCCAGTTACATCAATTGAGCATTTAGTGAATATTCTGTATTTAAATAAATGACCCAGGAGAGAGCATCCCCAGCCACTCATTCTATAAATGTTACATCTGGGCAGCTGAGAGGGATAAGACTTGTAGCACACAAATCAGCTAGAGTTCCATCAGGGCACCATAACTACTACAGGCTAACGTAGTGGCCATGATGCTGTGAGGCTTTGGCTTCTAGAATTCAGTCTGTGGAAATAAAATACATTGTTCTTGTTCTAAATTACATTTAGTTATATATGTTATTATCAGTAAGTCACCTAAAATATCTCTGTAAAGCCCCGCCAGCGGCAACACCCCACTCCCCCCCCCCCCCCCCAACATTAAAGTGTCTCTCTTTGAACATATGAAATGCTGGGAGTTCTGTAGATGTGCCATATTTTAATATCGATGATAAATGTATCTGTATTTGTATTGTAAAATGTTTCTGTTATATTCAGATACACAATGTATCATGTAACGGAATGGAACATGGCCTTGGGATATCTTGTGACTGTGCCAATTGCTGACCTTTGGGGACGCAACTTGACGACAATGCTACTCCAATTTTACGCAGACACAGCAATGTATCATTGGAAACGTCAACAACTGCGCCATCATCACCCACAGCTGCCCCTGGGAGAGTCAGGACTGGGTTAACAATATTAATGTTGGCTGTAATAACAGATGGGTTTCCATCCCAAAGCAATCTGGGGGTTAAATCACAACTCCAGTAAACAAACCGTGTGATGGGACAAACCAGGGACAGTAGAATGTTAGTGTGGTTCATCCCAAGCTGTACTGCGCTTTACCCCAAGATTTACTTATCTGACATAGGGGGGTCACTCCACTAACGTGGGACAATCACAATATTTAAAACAACAGCTAAATTGGAAAATGTCTCCAAATCAGCCGAAGGTTTGCCATGTCTTTGTACATTCTTACATGTTTCTGGTTTAGTGAATACATCGCAGTATTATCAAGCTTTAAAGTAACTGATTCGACGGAGATAGGATTTAAAGTAACGCTTTCATTGTCAGATTAATTCTAATTATTGGTTTGGCGCATGTCTAGCCTATAACTGCAAATCTGAGTAAAGGTATTACTTGTTAGAGCAGGCTTTGTATCGGAAGCTAGAAATGTGATATAAAGTAACAAATATAACTGAAATACTGGAACAAGGGCTACAAATGCACAGAAATTGAGTTCTGTGTAAGCGTGTGTGTGTGTGTGTGTTTGTGTAAGTGTGTGTGTGTGTGTGTGTTTGTGTAAGTGTGTGTGTGTGTGTTTGTGTAAGTGTGTGTGTGTGTATATATACATGCACATACATATACACCTGGGGAATTAAAAAATATAATAAAATAAGTATGACCCAGAAAAGCCAATAATATAGTAATACATAAGCAACCACAAAGGGGTTGATTGACTAAACAGTTAGAAAGAGTGAAGAGACAAATAGAAGACATTTAAGGCAAAATAAACCCAGGGGGATATTTCTATACAGTGAGTTTAATGTTGGAAGTGGGTTAGTATGAGCGCAGTTCAATGTTTAGCAGATAAACTCCTAAATAATTCTATCTGAATGAATCACATATCATTTGGTAATTATTTTATTCGATCAATGTTAACCCTACGTGTGCCACAGCCATTGGCTGGGTTATTAATGGAACTGCAAAGTAAACGTAACATTTTAGGAAAGAATTAGGTGAATTGTTTCCAATATCCAAGTTTTCTGTCTGGATTTAATGAATTTAGAAATCAGCCTGCGTAAATAATTTGTTTTAGTTCTATTCATGGTGGCTTAAAATGTAAAATTCACCTTTAACCCCTTAAGGACCAAACTTCTGGAATAAAAGGGAATCATGACATGTCACACATGTCATGTGTCCTTAAGGGGTTAAAACCGGAATGTTACTTTGGAAGCTTAGACTCCTTAATGACAATCAGTGGGTCACATAGTTAGGGTGGATAGAAAAACACATATTACTAAAATACACCATTACTAAGGATTCTGAGATAAAATAAATATTGCTAAATATGGTCCACAAGGGTAAGAGAGTGATGGGCCTCACTGGAAGTCGCTCTTTCAGTTTATCTTGAATAACATTGATTTGGGTAATAATAAAATATAGCCTCTGGTTTATATAAAACAGGCAATAACTAAATGTACCTTTTCTGGTAAAAAAAAAAAGCTATGATCATAAATTATTCTTCTTCCTATTATTCTTATTATATTGGAATCTCAAACAGCCAGTAAGCTATTGATCCCTTACCTGGATGCTGATGGACTGACTGGTTACTGGAATCAGCACAGAGAGACACACACTATGCAGGAGAGCCTGAGATGCTGTGGTTATATATAGAGAGAGCTTCCAATCCTCTGCCTGGGTGACTCATCAGCAGAGAATGTAACAGCAAGGATAGAGCTTTCTGGAATATAGTGTCCCTGCAGGTCATTGTGGGTGCAATGACACGAGATCTCCCTTAGGGGGCAGCCTTGCCTTCTGTATTAAAATCTCCAGCAGCCCTTAACTCCTCAGCAGATATTGGAGAATTGGAGATTAGCTAAATAGTAGATGTGTTGAACAGATATAGAATTTGTTGAACAGATACAGAATTGCACATTTGTGCACAAAGTAGTTGGATTATAATTTTCACTGTTTTTAAAAATTGTTCATGAATAAACCCATATAATACCAACAGTGTTATTAACTGCAGTACGTTTGCTAACATTTAACTGTAAATAACACTAAGGGATTTGTAACGGATCACCTGGCACCCCGACTGGGTACCTCCGCCAAAGGATCACTTCCGAGCTGGAACAGGGGACAAACCGCAGCACTTCTGCCCTCAGTCGCCGCAGCTTGACTTGGGCCCTGTAACCGCCATCTCCTTCCTGGATCCGAAGGGAAAATTAGCTCTGACACCTCCAGGCACTGGACAACACTCAGTCCTGGGAACTCTGGAACTGAATGGGGGAATTAGCTCTAGTCCTTACAAGGACGTTCCCTGTTGAATCTCCTGCAAGCTGGAACAGCAGACACAGGAGCAAATCTTCTTTCCCTCCAATAACTGGACGACACACAGTTTTGGAGTGTAAGCTGGAATCTCTAGTTTAATGGGACACACTGGCCTTTTATACAATTTTCCAGGCCAGAGGAACACCCCCTGGACCTGATGGGGCACTGGAACACAAAAGACATAAACCAATCAGAACAAACATACATTCTGTGACACGCCCATGTACAGCACACAATCCCACCCCTCTGCTTAGGAGATAATTGAGTAAAGTCCTGTAAGTAACTCAATTATCTCCATGCAGAAAAAACACATTTTCACAAAGTTCAGAAACTACCCCAAAATCCAGCATATCCCCATAATATTGCCCCGATAGCCCCGATCTGGGTGAACAACATATCCAAAAATCACCCAGATCGGTTCAGGGGTTCAGGAATTTCCTAGAAGTCATAGTTTTGACCGACGGCAAGAATGGCCCCATGCCTAAAACAGTTCCAGGGAAAGCAGTTCTAACAGTCGGTCAAGTTTGGTAGTCTTTTACAGGTTTCCTTGCAGGGCCCATAGTCTGTGGGCAGGAGGCTGGCAAGCAGGCTTCTCCAGGAGCTCGTGGGAAACTCACTTGAAAAGGGTGTGTCACAGGATTAATTCACAAAACACTGAATGATGGTGAACTCAAATCCAAATTGCCAAATTTAAACATTTCAAATTCCAGAACTCACTTACTGTAACTTTATTTTCAATTTAACCAAGGACGCGGCATGCCAGTGACAGGAACGCACACAAGGCCAACATGTACAATTCCCAGCAGGGCATTAACAGCAATAAACACCCTCATATAGCAAGACATAGCTTGAAATAGATTCTAGCAGGTGAGAAGGTCCATTTAGAAATACAGTCTTTTTCCTTAAAAGAACACCAGAGTGCAGGACAGATAGATTTGCCTGTCATCCGCATAGAAATGATAATGGAAGCCAGAGGAGCTAATGAGTTTACTAAGGGAGGTGGTATAGATAGAGAACAGTAGGGGACTAATGACTACAACAGAGATGAGTTGGGGAGAAGAAGCAAAGCCAGAGAAAGAAACACTGAAAGAGCGCTGGGAGAGGTAGGAGGAGCACCAGGAGAGAGCAATATCTTGTAGACCGATATTGCGGAGGATGAGAAGAAGCTGTAGACGATCAACAGTGTCAAAAGCCGCAGACCGGTCAAGGAGAATGAGGATACAGTAGGGATCATGAGATTTTGCAGTGAGTAGATCATTGCTCAGTGCTTAGCACGGAAACCAGACTGAAGCGGGTCTAGCAGAGAGTTGGACTTGAGGAAGTCTGTCAATCTCACATACACAACTCTTCCAAGGATCTTGGACTCAAAAGGCAGTAGCGAGATAGGACGGTAGTTGGAAGGGGAGTTAGGGTCAAGGTTGGGCTTCTTTAGAATTGGGGTTACAGTTGCATGTTTGAAGGGCGATGGCAATATGCCAGAGGAGAGAAGGAGATTGAGAATTTTAGTGAGAGGTGTTTTATCTTGAATAAAACAAAGGAGGCTGTGTTTATTAAATTACACATACTGCTCATCTTATACAAATATCTGTGAGGTATGTTTCATATTGGGTTAGTGAACATACACATAGCTAACGAAAAGTTAATAATTAGTTAAGTGGTTTTTAATTTAGATTTCATAAAATTACTTTTTCACAAAGTCACCAGTGACGGACCATCCGCCAATCGATGCTCCTAGTGCTTACCAAGGACAATCAGCACCCCACCCGTGAAGGAGCTATTAATATAAACAGAGGGACCCAATGACCCCCCAGGCCTGCACCCATGACTGTTGGGTGGGGACCTTAATTAAATAAATAATGGAGGGGACCTAATGTCCCCCTAAGGTCCCCACCCATGAGTGACAGATGGGCACCCTAAGTATCAATGGGGGGGACCTATTGTCTCCCCCCAGGTCCCCAGCCATGAGCAGCGGGTGGGGACCCTAACAGGCAATGGAGAGGGTCAATTGTCCTCCCCCCATGGGCCCCATCTATGAGCGGCGGTTGAGGGCTCTAAATGACAATAAGGGGCATACCTTTTGTCCCCCCCGGACTCCACGCACATGAGCAATGGGAGGAGTCCCTGAGTATCAAGGGGGTGACCTATTGTCTCTCCCCAGGTCCCCACCCATGAGCAACGGGTGGGGACACTAACAGACAATAGGGGGACCTATTGTCCTCCCCCCACGGCCTACACCCATGAGCAGCACTTGGGGGCCTTTAATTACAACAAAGAGAGGACCTATTGTATCAATGGGGGGGACCTATTGTCTCCCCCCAGGTCCCCACCCAGGAGTCGTGGGTGGGGGCCCTAAGTATCAATGGAGGGAATCTATTGTCTCCCCCTAGGTGCCCACCCATGAGCGGCGGGTGGGGACCCTAACAGACAATGGGGGGGACCTGTAAATAAAAAACAAAATTATACTTGCCATTAGATGTCTTCTTTTTTCTTAAACCTTATTTTTTCCCATCAAACTTTGATAATAAAAAAAACCAGAGCGCCCCCCCCCCCCCAAAAAAAGAAGAAAAAATAAAAACCCGATGACAAAAAATAAAAACTAATCTTCACCCAGCGAGGGCACCGCGCAGACTGAGCTCTTCACTCAGTGAGGGCACCGCGCAGACTGAGCTCTTCACTCAGTGAGGGCACCGCACACTGTGGAAAATGACTCAGAGCACTCTGATTGGTTGCCTTCCAAGCAAAAAAAAATATTTATCTTACCTCACCATACCTGATTGGTTGGCTTGGAATCAACTAATCAGAGTGCTCTGAGTCAAATTGCAGGTAGTGGGTAGCCTGTATAACACTTCCCCCGCCCTGCAAAGCTCATTCTGCGCGGAGGCCACCCTGGTGCATTTTATTTGCACTCTGTTCTTTTTTTTATTTTAACAGTTGTGACAGTACAATTATTGAGATTTATTTGGCCTTTTTGGGGCTGAATAAAGAAAAGAAAAGAAGAAAGAAGACATCTGATGGTAAGTATGAAATTTTATTTTACAGGGTGTTAGATTATTGCCCCCCCCCTCACTATTATTAGTGAATAGAGGCTTTGGGATCCCTAGTCACTTTATTATTTGTGGTCCCCACCCTTTAATTAATTAGGGTCCCCACCCGCAGCTCATGGGTGGGGGCCAGAGTGGAGAGACTTGGTCCCCTCCTTTTGTTACGTACAGCCCCCCCAACCGTTCATGGGTGGGGGCGGGGGGGGGATATTATGTCCCCCCTTTAATTATTCATTTAATTATTCATTTAATTAGGGTCCCCACCCGCCGCTCATGGGTGGGGACCAGGGGGGATATTAAGTCCCCCCCTTTAATTAATTAGGGTCACCATTTGCTGCGCATGGGTGGAGACCTGTAAAGGACAGGGGTTTCCACTCATGGGTGGTTGCTGGGGGGGGGGTGGTAAAGTGGCGGGCTATTTTTTTTTTTTAACAGTGAGCAGTCAGACAGACAGTAGACATATCCCTCTTCGCGGCATAGCAAAGAGGGTTATTTGGGACATTTTAATCTCCTTTATGCTAATATGGGGGTCATATTGACCCTCATAGAATGACCGGGGGTGAGTTAGGAAGTGACGGGGAGCACTGCTCGCTGCCGTTTCTATTTTCACATATTATGGAGGGAACCGCGAACTGGTAGCTCCCTCCTTGTAATACACTTAATGAACTGAAACGAAATTATAATACATTTGGCATTTGCCCTTTCAATTCGTATATAATTCGTATGTAGGACTTTTGTTTATGTTATAGTAAATTAATGCGAAAAAGTCTGAAAATTCTGGCAACAGGAAGTACACACTCAGTGTGCACTTCCTTTTAGTCCGGCCGGGTACAGGAAACAAAAGCTCCCTGTACCCGCGGACCATACAGAGCTCGGCCACGCTACAGTGAGGGAGTGACAGGAGGGAGCGCTGAGCTCTTCCCTCCTGTTAGCCCCTCTCCTCATGCTGCGCCCAGGCGGTGTGCCCTCATGGACGCACCAGCCCGGGCAAAGCTGCAGCCGTCTGAGGCTCTCTACAGAGTGGGGGGGGAGTGGAACAGGGAGGATAAAGGAGAGATAAAAAGGGAGGGGGATAAAGAAAGAAATTGGGAGGGATAAAGAAAGATTGGGGGGGGGAAGAAAGAAATTGGGAGGGGGGAGAAGGAAATTGGAGGAGAGAAGGAAATTGGAGGGGGGGAGAAAAAGGAAATTGACGAGGGGGAGAGAAGGAAATTGACGAGGGGGGGGGAGAGAAGGAAATTGACAGGGGTGGGAGAGATTGACATCCATCACACACAATGTACCCCTTGCACACAGAAAAACACACAATGCATTACACACACAATGCATTACAAACACAGACACACATACACAAGCAATGCAACCCTTACACACAATGCATCCCTTACACACACAGAAACACACAATGCATTCATTACACACACTCAATGCACCCCTTACACACACTCAATGCATCACTTACAGACACACACACTGCATCCCTTACATACACAGAAACACACCTTGCATCCCTTACACATACAAACACAGATTCACACAATGCATTCCTTACACACATATCAGGACATCCCCTACACACTCCACCCCCTGTGAACAAACTCATTGGTGGAACATGAAGGGGGACCCTGGGACCCAGACCTTGAGCTGTGTAAAGGGCCCCCAAAAAATGGAGCTGCTTCCCGTTCTCCCAGAACATTGATTTTTGTGACCACAGTTACAAACCGCCTCCAGAGAGCCTGTTCTGCACCAGACCAGTGGAGCCAGACTGCAGCTAGAGCCCATCATCATCCTCATCTGGTTGTAAGTAGGCAATCTAGTATATTATTCGTGGCACTAAGCTCTATTTTACCTCACATTAAAGAAACACTATAGTCCCCAGAACCACTTCAGCTTAATGTAGTGGTTCTGGTGTCTATAGCCTGTCCCTGCAGGCCTTTTAATGTAAACACGGCGGCACTGCAGCACTGGCGTTAGTTAACATGGCAGATCATATCGGTGGGGCATTGTGATGTCACATGGGGGGGCAAACTTTACTTTTGCCTAGGGCGGCAAAAATCCTTGCACTGGCCCTGAGTGTATATCTCAGGTCTTGTCAGGGAACTGACAGGGGATTGCATGGGCTCTGTGGGTATGAGGATAATGGAAGAAACTACAAAATTTACTGGTTAAGCAATAAACCATTTCAGACTTGCTGTAATGGTAAACATGTAAGCTATATAAGAGAGATCCACTATATTCACACAAAGTATTCCACCCTCCATTCATTTTCAAATGTCCTCACAACAGGGCATTCTATAAGCAGGAAGGGGCACGTTGCTAGATAACATTGGTTATAACATAGTTTATTGTAACAAAAAAGGAATTCTGTGCCATCATCCTTGAATCTCCAGTACGATTTCCAGCAGTCCGCAAGCCATCTCAGCTAGCTGCACAGATCTGTTCATTACAATAAAAATGAAGCAAATCCACTGTAGTACTATTGTGATTCACTGCTTTATGGCAGCTAACGTATTAAATCGCGAGATTCTGGAAACAATTACAAGTCCCGTATAAAGAACACTTGATAAACCATTGGTTATACCAGTTAGAAATGGAAAAAGGAACAAGTACATCAAAACCACTTGTAAACCATAAACAAATATCTATATATGATAATTACATCAACTTAGCTAAGATCAATCAAAAAAGACCAATTTCTGGGCATAATATAGACACTGTGTCCTCTAACCCAAGGTATATGAGAATGGAAATATTCCAGTAGGTATGTCAATGCTTTCATAATTCAGTTTGCATTATGTGGGATATACCCTCCTCTTGAATGTTTGATTGTCTTTCTGTATTTGTATCTATATGTATACGTTGATATATTTGTCAGTATCATTATTTCAATATTTTGTACAATAAAAAGTATTAAAAAATAAAAATAAAAAATGAGTGATTTCCTCTGACTGAGTTCAGGTGTCAGGACAGGCCTCGGCTAAGTGGAGGAAATACCTAACAAGAAATACCACGGACAGCACCGGGGATAGCAGATAATCACGCAGCTGCAGGGGTCTAAGCAGAACTGCTAACGTAATCCTTCGGACACTTCATCTATGTCAATAAAACGGCAATAAGGGAATAAAACCCTGCAATACAACTCCGGAAAAACGATTATCTATTGCAAGTCCTTTCTTTGTCTTGAACCCCTGGAAAACATCTGCATGGATCTATTTTGACTCTTGGCCATTGTATTAAAAGCAAACAAACAATGCAACAATAAGCAACAGACATGATTATGAAACATTGTGCGGTCAATTTCATCACTCCAGCCATCTGTCTACACTAAACCTCGTCAGATTATTTTTAAATCTATGACTTATATTACTCTGACCCTGACTGTGCGTCCTGTTAGACCTGCTCAGCGTTGGCCTGTACTAAGCATTAAGAAACTGATTAATTCTTCATGTGACTCTGAGCTGACTGCAGGGATATCGGTTAAATTGTTATTTTAGGATGACCAGACAAAGTATAGAGATATTTGAAGTTAACCCAGTAAATGTGGCTATTAAAGGGAACTGTAATCAGTACAACCAATTCATCTTACCAAAGTGGCTATAGTGCTTGGAATTTCCTGGCACTGTCCCTCAATTCAGTGTTAAACCATTTTAAAGCAGTTTAACACCGGATGAAGGTCCTTGGCCACCCACAACCCAGCACCCACCGGAGTGGTGGCTAAGGCCAATTCTGACACTCTTAGCCAATCGCAGCCATCCAATGCTGACACTCCTAGCCAATCACAGCCATCGAACGCTGACACTCTTAGCCAATCACAGCCACCCAATGCTGACACTCCTAGCCAATCACAGCCATCAAACGCTGACACTCTTAGCCAATCACAGCCATCCAGTGCTGACACTCTTAGCCAATCACAACCACCCAATGCTGACACTCCTAGCCAATCACAGCCATCAAACGCTGACACTCTTAGCCAATCACAATTATCCAATGCTGACACTCCTAGCCAATCACATCCATCAAACATTGACACTCTTAGCCAATCACAGCCATCCAATGCTGACACTCCTAGCCAATCACAGCCATCCAATGTTGCTCAGGTTAATTCTTCCTCATTAGACACACCATCACCGAGGGATGGGTATCTGGAGACTCTTGTTTAGAATTAAATAATTAAAAATGGTTTAACACTGAGAGGAGGACCCTATGCACTATAACCACTTCAGTTACAGTGCCTACAGTCTCTATTTAAATTAAGAGAGCTATTTCAGCGAGTTTTCACCACACAAATTAACATTGATTTTATGCCAGTATATCCCCCAGTTTATGAAAACAAGTCTCATAGAAGAAACATAAAATACTCAATTCTGGACAATATGAAGTTGTGGGGATTTTACCCATTCAACCCATAACGACATCTTATAGTTCATAGAACCTCTCTAGTTTCCAAGTACTTCTTGTGGTTGGGATGTCATTATATAACGACGTAGTGGAAATTGTTTTAATAATCTAAAGATAAACTTGACCTTGCAAAAATTCAAACATGGGACCATGCAGCTATTTCCACTACAAACACTTAACAAACATGGTTATGGAGCATGATGGTGTGTATTGGGAGCTGAGCTCCAGAGATCACTGCTAATAGAAATGGTCCGCAGGTCTCACTAGGCCCACCCAGTGCTGGCATTCCAGAGAGAACAAGACTTTAACAATCAAACGCCACTGTGCCGTGTGCCCCGGAACCAAATGGAAAGTCAGAAAGGAAAATCATACTCCAGATATCAACAGATTGCAAACTATGCAATGTATACGCAAGAAAAGCCATGAAGACAGCAACTTACCTACAAAACAAGCTACCATCAAAGGCAATTCAAAATATTACTTCTGAATTGTGTAATGGCTCATGGCTCAGCACAGAGCGCATCAGGGCACCTACTGGATGCAAGTCTCTTATCAGTCTATGTAACTATGTCTGCAAAAATTATTGTACACTCCAAAGGGACAATGTTAGAGTAAAAAGCCATAAACTACCAAATGTCTACAGTAAGTGCTGTAAAGGATTTAGAATCTAGCAACGGAACACTAAGTCACAGCGGGCATGAACGCTTGCTTAAGATCAGGGCCGGATTAAGAGCCTATTGGGCCTGGTGCTGACAGTTATGATGGGCCTAATTACAGAATCTTATCGACCAAAAACACTAAAACAACCATACCTCCCAAGCGTCATGTATCTGATTTAGATGGTGTTGGAGGGAAACTCAAAGGATGCAGCTATAGAAAAACACATACACTATGCTAATCTCTCTCTAATTCATGCTTTCATCTTTCAATTAAATCCATACCCCCTAACACCAGTGTCCGGTGAAGCAAGAAGTCAATGTGTAGTGTAAAAGAGTGTGCCACTGGCGCAAATCACGTGACCAGACCTGCCAAAAGGGGTGAACATGCCCAAAAAGGGGGCATTTTTGTCCAAAGAATTGGAAGGCCAGCCTGGCATGAATGTAGGCTGTCCAACTAAGGGCATACTATGCAGGCAGAACCCTGAACTTGACATAAATGCATCAAATAATGCGCCTACTCCAAGCTTTCTATGGACTGTCCCCTAGCACTCACATGTCCACTTGTCTCCTTACCTTCTTACTAGCAGGCAGAAGTTCCTGGTATATAGTCTGGGATAGAGAAAATGTGTATGTAGTGAGTGTAGAAGAAAAGGGACATGCCACAGTGTTAGAGAGACCAAAGTCTGCATTACCAAAGGCTGACAATAACTAATGTTATTGTCAGCCAGTCCACACAGGATTTGTTCCCATACATCCCTCTTAAGTTTCCAAACTTAAAGGGACACTATGGTCACCAGAACAACTACAGCTTATTGTATTTGTTCTAGTAAGTTCCAGGCTTTTTGCAGTAAACACTGTCTTTTCAGAGAAAATAACTCTGATGGCCACTCCTTAGATGGCTGCTAGAGGTGCCTCCTGGGATAGTACTGCCTAGTGTGTAGCACAGCCATTCAGTGTCTCCACCCTCTGCATGCAGACACTGAACTTTCCTCATAGAGATGCATTGAATCAATGTATCTTCATGAGAAGATGCTGATTGGCCAGGGCTATGTTTGACTTGTGGTGGCTCTGCCCCTGATCTGCCTAGTTGACAGTCTCAGCCAATCCTATGGAGAAGCATTGTAATTTGCTCAGACCACCACTTCTGATGATGTCAGCAGGCAGAGTCAGTTCAAAGGCAGACAGGGCCAGAGCCAGCAGCTGCAGACTTGAATACAAGTAAGAGTTTACTATATTTAGGGAGGCAAGAGGGGGCCAGGGGGGCTAAATGGTGGTTTTAACATAATAAGGTCAGAAATACATGGTTGTATTCCTGACCCTATAGTGTTCCTTTAAGCAAGAGTATGTGAAGAGTAGTTAGGGTTGCCACCTTTCTTGGAAAAAAATACCAGCCTTATACATTTGTATAATTAATTAGTTATGCGTGACATCACATGATATAAATCACAAGGAGTCAGGGCCGGACTGGGGATACAAAGCAGCCCTGGAAAAAAAATTTGTGCCAGCCCCATAAGTCACTGCGCCATATATTGTCGCATGTAATATGTAAGGCTATGTCTTGCCAGGACAGATGATTGAGTAATATATATATATATATATATATATATATATATATATATATATAGAGAGGATAAAGAGATGCACTCTCAGGACTTGAAAAAATAATTAATTTATTCCAGCAGGTATAACATCAAAGTTTGCCGACGTTTCGACCCATTCGGGTCTTTCTCAAGGTCAATGTACCTGTGCTTACAAGCCATTTATATAGGACATAAAAAGAAGTACTCACCAATCTGTGAAGAACCCCCTGAATCCCTCCGTGCACACCCGGAAGTGAAACCGGAAATAGAACCCGCGATCACATGATCCATGCATAAGTGATCGTGTGGTGTTGCTAAGATACTGATGGGAAAACAATTAATGATAAGATCGGTATATATCTCATAGATGTGCAAGTGAAATGTCTAATATCAATCAAATGGTATGTATATAAAATCTAATTAAAGTGCAAAGTGCATAAATCCGCAAAAATGCAGCCTAATATAAGAAAGTGAGCAAAGATCATAAGATCAAATATACTGTGTAAAGTGTCACCATATATCTAAGGAAGTGATCCAAAATAAAAAATGTTATATTAAAAACATTTCACCAACCATATCAAGTTTAGAAGGAATAAATTAATAATTTTTTCAAGTCCTGAGAGTGCATCTCTTTATCCTCTATACATTTTGTCTACATGGGATTGCACCCAGGCGATATTGAGCTACACATTTGAAAGGGTGAGTGCCAAGAAAAACATTGTTTTATATATATATATATATATATATTGCTTTTTCTAATATAAAATATTGGTCCTTTCAGGGTAAAACGTTTAATTATACAGTAAGCATACGCACATGCAGACACAGGCAATTTCACTGACATTTCAGTGACACACACAAGCTCATTGATACACAGCCTCATAGACAAACAATCTTACTGATATACATCAGCTCATTGACATAAAAACACAAGCTCACTCACTAGCAGGCACACGCATGCAAGCAAGCTCACTCACTAGCAGACGCACACACACAGCTTAATGTGGTGGTACTGGTGTCTATAGCATGTCCCTACAGGCTTTTCAACGTAAACACTGACTTTTCAGACAAAAGGCAGTGTTTACATTGCTTCAAAGTGACACTGCTAGTGACAGTCACTCAGACGGTCACTAGAGGTGCTTCCTGTGTTAGTGCCCTCCCGCCCTCGCGCGCTGCTGAATGAGACTGGCGCCGGAATATGACGTCATATTCCGGCGCCGGTCTCATTCAGCTGCGTGCTGGGGAGCAGAGCCAGCGCAGCTCAGCTCCCTCCGCCAGCGGCCGCCAAAAGACCTCCCCAGCGGCCAGGGGAGGGCTGGCAGCCTTAGGCCTGGGGGGCAAAACCAGTCAAGTAGACTGGTGCACCTGCCCAGGATCAGAGCCGGTGCAAGGATTTTTGCCGCCCTAGACAAAATAAAAATTTGCTGCCCCCACATGTCACATCACAATGCCCCACCCATATGATCTGCCATATGAACTAACGCCAGTGCTGCACACAGTGTGTGTTTACATTAAAAAGCCTGCAGGGACCAGCTATAGACACCAGAACCACTTCATTAAGCTATAGTGTCCCTTTAATGTGAGGTAAATTATAGATTAGTGTCACTAATAATATACTAGATTGCCTACTTACAAGCAGATGAGGATGATGATGGGCTGCAGTTTGGCTCCACTGGTCTGGTGTAGAACAGGATCTCTGGAGGCTGTTTGCAACTGTGGTCACAAAATTCAATGTTCTGGGAGAATTGGAAGCAGCTCAATTTTTTTGGGGCCCCTTACACAGCTCAAGGTCTGGGCCCCAGGGCCTGACGGTGAGTATGCCCATAAGGCCCACTCATAAGTTCCACCCACCCATGAGTTCGCTCACAGGGAGTGGAGTGTGTAGGGGATGTGTTATGTGTTATTGTAGAGGATCTAATATGTGTGCTTATGGTATGTAGTGTTTAGGGTTACCAGTTTGTGCAGGTGATGCAGTGTGTTTGTGTGTAGTGGAAGCAGTGTGTATTTGTGTATAAGGGATGTATTATGTGTTTCTGGTTGTGTGTAAGGGATGCATTGTGTGAATCTGTGTTTGTATGCATAAGGGATGCAAGGTGTGTGTCTGTATGTGTGTGCATGAGATGCATTGTGTTTCTGTGTGTATGTAAGAAAAGAAGTGTGTGCTTGCATGCGTGTGTACGGGTTTGCATTGTCTGTTTCTGTGTATGTGTGCAAAGGATGCATTGTCTTTGTGTGTAAGGGTTGCATTGTGTGTGTGTGTGTAATGGATGCATTGTGTGTTTCTCTGTGTGTAAGGGAAGCATGTTGTGTTTCTGTGTATGTATAGGGATGCATTGTGTGTGTGTGCGCGCGTAGTGTGAAAGAGCTCCCTGTCTTGGCCCCTGTCCTATAGAGCTGCCCCTTCTTCTTATTCCCCCCCTCCCCTCTTCTTATTCCCCTCCCTCCCCTCTTCTTATTCCCCCCCTCTCCCCTCATCTTATTCCCCCCTCCCCTCTTCTTATTCCCCTCCCTCCCCTCTTCTTATTCCCCCCTCCCCTCTTCTTATTCCCTCCCTCCACTCTTCTTATTCCCCACCCTCCCCTCTT